CTCCCACCCAGCACTGCACAGCTGGTGAAGAACTTCAGGCTGCCTTTCTGGGCACAGCCTCCTATGGCTGTGGGCTTAGATCTAGAATCCCCCGCTGCCAGCAGCTCTGTGGACACCCTTCCACAGTCGAACACTACACGTGTCCGCAATGTATGTGGACTTGGTGCAGTGCAGTCTCCCTCTGACACTCTATACCCAGCTGTGCACATTTCTCTCTCTAGCCCAGATCCCCGATCCCCGATCCCACTTCTCTCCAGGTGACCTTTGATCTTTCTATCCATGGATAGATGGGTTTAATTCGCCAATTCCGGGTGGATATTATTCAATTTAGTTGTTTCTCCTATCTGTTCCTTAAGAAGCCACTGGACCTGTCCACCTATTAGGCTGCCATTTTGTCTCCCTCTGGACAAACTTTAGGAGCCTGTGGCCCAGGAGGCTGGAGTCGCGGTGCCTGTGAGTTTGCAGCCAGCAGGTGGTCCCTGGGTGATGTGGCTGTAGGGTCCCAGGAGGTAATTGAGTGCCCTGACCCGCGGGACAACAACGGGGGAACGAAGAGACACCCTAGGAGAATGAAACAAACAAGGGACACGAAAGAATGGAGGCAAGACAAGTTCTGATCAAGCCTCAAACTTTATTCTCACAGCGGCAGGATATATACTGTTTTAGGAACGGGGGGGGGGGGGGGGGGGGCCAAAGGGGTCTATGGGCAGTAACCTATTACTAGAGATTTATTAGACTCCTGATGGCTGTGCTTATCAGTGGAGATGTGTGATTTAGCGGCTGTGTGAGGGTAGTTTATCTTTAACTGCTGGCCAATTTGCAAGACACAGGTGGTTTCTGGTAATTAGGAGTTTTGGAGGAACCAGAAACTTATAGTTCTTAAGATGGCTTTGTCTAAGCCAATATCTCTAATGGCTCCCAACAATTGAGGTCTCCCCAGGTGGAGGTGAAGCTTGGGTCCCAGTCACAGCCACGCTCCCCTTCAAGATGGTGCATTCTCTGCGGCAGAGCCAGCTGCTGTGGGAGAGATTTGCAGTGGTAGTAGAGGCTGCCTGGCTAGGGGAGCCTGGTCTGCCAGTCCCCAACAGTCCTGCGGAATATAACTGTCCCTCACTCACACATATACACATATCCCACATGTCCATGCACTCCCCTTTCGCTCTCTCACTCACTCACATTCTTTCTCAATGCTGTCCTGTTGGGTGCCATCTTCCATCTCCCTCTAGTTTTCTTTAATAGAATATACACAAAAGAATTGACACACTTCCACACAAGCATTCATAGCAACACTATTCACAACAGCTCAAAAGTGTAAATAATCTATATGTCCTTGAATGGATAGATGGATAAAATTGTGGTATATACATATAGTGGAATAGTATATTATCCATAAAAAGGAATGAAATATTGATACTTGCTACATGGTTGATGAATCTGTAAAACATTATGCTGAGTGAGACACAAAAAGGTCACATATTTCATTTATGTGAACTATCCAGATTAGGTAAAACCATAGAGTCTGAGAGTCTGAAAGGAATTGGTATTTGCTGGGCCCTGGAAGAGGAAAGAAAAGAGAATAACTGCTTAATGGGAATGACAAAAATAATCTGGAACTAGGTAGAGTTGATAGTTGTGCAACATTGTGAATGTACTAAATGCTACTGAATTGTATAGTTCAAAATGTTTCATTTTATGTTCTGTGGATTTCACTTCAATAACATTTTTAAAAAGTTTATAACCCAACAACCAAAGTTGTTTAAAGGTGCAGAATTACAAATATTGCAATGTGTGCTTGTTATTCAGTTTCTGAATTTTACAAACTATTCAGTGAGGGTTTTTTTTCCCCCTTCAACATTAAATTCATTGGCGCTTGATATACTATCAAAGGCTACATGGCTTCCTCTAAGACTTCCTTTAAACACCCAGCCTTTAAAACCCTTGACAATGACAGTCCCAGCATGCCCCTCCCATTCCCTTCCCTCTCTCCTTCCCTCACAGCAGGGGTCCTCAAACTTTTTAAACAGGGGGCCAGTTCACTGTCCCTCAGACCGTTGGAGGGCCGGACTATAGTTTAAAAAAAAACTATGAACAAATTCCTATGCACACTGCACATATCTTATTTTGAAGTAAAAAAACAAAACGGGAACAAATACAATATTTGTATTTGCATGTGGCCCGCGGGCCGTAGTTTGAGGACCCCTGCCTCACAGGCAAGTATCTCCTAAACTCCAAGGGAGCCCATGAGACTTGCAACCAGGAGAGCAAGAGATCAACCAAAGGACTTATATGCAAGCATATAGGCCTCACCAATGGACACGGACAACAGGGGGGTGAGGGCATGAGTGGGGGGTATCGGGGATAACATGGGGATAAGGACACATATGTAATAACTTAATCAATTTTTTAAAAAAAGGCTACATGGCTTGGACTGGTAAATGTAGGAATCATATCATTCCCTTTCCATTGGATGGGCTGGGCAACAAAAGCTAGTCCCAAGTTTTTTCACCCTAGAAATTCTACAGGGCACCCTACACCTCAAATAACAGCCATATCCTACTGTTACAGGACAATGAAAAGCTAGCAAAATCCAGGACAAGTGGTATAGGGAAACTGAGGTAGGAAAATTAAACAAAGCTAAAAAGTTTTGCAGGCTGCTTGTTGCAGGACCTTATCTTAAGGACAAAGGGTTAAAACCTCTCCTCACAGAAGAATGCAGGAGAGAAGGGGAAAGGGAAGGAGGAGAGGAGGAGGAATCTTAATTCAACTAGAGAATACATAATTTCTTTATTTTTATTTTTTGTTAATCCTCACCCAAGGATATTTTTCCATTGATTTTTAGATAGAGTGGGAGAGATGGAGGGAAGGAGAGAGAGACAGACAGACAGACAGAGAGATAGAGAGACATCAATGTGAGAGAGCCACATTATTGGTTGCCTCCCGAATGCACTCTGACCTGGGCCTGGGATCAAACCTGCAACTCTGGCACATGCCTTTGACCAAGGATTGAGCATGGGACCCTTCTGTGCACGGGGCCAACATTCTAACCATTAAGCAACATCAGCCAGGGTGAAACACGTAATTTAAATCACTCTAAAACCAACTAAAAGACAGAAGAGAGGAGGGGGGAGGGGGAGGAGTGCAGTCTTTTCTCATCCCACTGTATAAACAGAGAAGCCAACAGTCTCGAGATTTAATTGCCAAGTGCTTCTCATAAATTGAAAAAGCCATAACAAAGAAAAGGGAGACCTTCAGAGTTAATCTGTACCAGGATATCTAACAGGGGAATTAAAAAAACAAACAAACAGGGAATATAGTCAATAATCTATACTAATAATAGAAGAATATGCAAATTGTCCAGGACACTGTCATCATAACAGTAATGACCAGCAGGCTGCCTGGGGCGACAAGGCCGGCAAGGGGGGTTAGTGAGGGACGACCAAATGATTAAACAGCAGGCTGTGTGGGGCAACCAGACTGGCAGGGGGATTAGTGAGGGACAACCAAACGCAGGCTGTGTGGGGCAACCAGGCCGGCAGGGGGAGCAGTTGGGTGTGACCAGGCCTGTGGGAGGGGCAGTTGGGGGTGACCAGGCCAGCAAGGGGGCAGTTGGGGGCTATCAGGCCAGCAAGCAGAGTCAGTTAGGGGTGATCAGGCTGGCAAGGGGGGAAGTTAGGGGCAATCAGGCAGGCAGGCAGGTGAGCAGTTAAGAGCCAGAAGTCCCAGATTGGAGAGGGTGCAGGCTGGGCTGAGGGGACCCCCCTGCCCCCATGCATGAATTTCATGCACTGGGCCTCTAGTCCTATATAATAAAAGGGTAATATGCAAATAGACCAGATGGCAGAACAACCAATCAATCAAAGCGTAATATGCTAATGATATGCTAAGGCTACTCAACTGCTTGCTATGACATGCACTGACCAGCAGGGGGCAGATGCTCCGACTGGTAGGTTAGCTTGCTGCTGGGGTTCAGGCAATCGGGACTGAGCAAGATGGGCCAGCTAAGCCCTGGAGCCCTCTCTTGGTCCCTCCCTGGCCCGATCATGCACCACTGGAGTCCCTCAGCATGGCCTGTGCCCTCTCACAATCTGGGACCCCTCAGGGGATGTTGCAGATCTAGTTTCAGCCAGATCCCACAGGCCACTTCCCTTGGGAGGGCTGCCAGATGCAGGGCTCATGGCTGGTGAGTGCTGCTGCAGCAACGCGAGCCTCTCCCGATAGGGACTGGTTGGGCATGGGTCCATGGTGGGGCCGGGATGAGCAGGAGAGGCAGGTAGGAGCTGCAGGTGGCATTGGACTGCAGGTTTCGATCCAGTTCCTGCAGGCCACCCAGAGGGACACCACCCGTGCATGAATTCGTGCACCAGGCCTCTAGTATTATAATAACTAGGTGTGGTGCTGGATGGGTGCGGGATTTATTGGGATGATCACATAGTAAGTTGTGTAATATCTGGTCACTGGAGTGTACAAAAAATAATAATATCATAAAGTATAAATTACTTTAAAAAGCCTTATAGACATGAGGATATATAAGGCAGAAACCCCACCCCACTTGCTCTTCAGAGGGGTTTATAGCCCATCTGCACTGCATAAGCCAGATGTATAGGTTTGCTTGCCTCGCTTCTTTAATAAACGTGCATGCTTTAATTTTTTTTAAATAAATTCACTTTAAAACAACACAATCAGGGCCTCTCCTTTAAATTCATTTATATGAGCATGACAAGAATTGAGGTGGAGACAGCCCTCTCCCTCTGACTCATGGGACTGCCAGATAACACCTCTCCCAAGTCTGTAAAAGGTGCCTGTAACACTACCTGCATATAAGCCAGGAGACTAGGCTTGCAGGGCTTGGAATCAGGATGAACCAGGACAGTGGGTGGGGGTGGGAGGTGGATAGTGTTAACCAAACCCTGGCGGCCACGCCCCCTGCCACCCACGCTCCCAACCGCCCTGTCCTCTAGCTCCACCTTCTCCTTTCGCTGTCGCCAGCGCCCGCCCCGCAGCAGCCGGACGGAAATGGGGGCGCCGGAACAGGCCCTGGACCGCGCCCACTAGAGGGCGTGCGCGGTGGCGGCAGGGAGCGAATCCCCTCGCCCTCGCGAGTCCCAGCCAAGCGGCGGTCGGCACTAGTGGGCCACAGCCTGCGGGGTAGTCGCGCGAGAGTCGGCGGCCGAGGTCAGAGGTGAGCGAGCCGCTTCCCGAATAGCGTTACGTCGCTTTCCGGAGGCCGGAAAAGGAAGACGGTGTCCCCGGAGACTCGGGCCAAGCTGAGCCAGCCACCGTCCCAGAGGCCACCTTCGTTGACTTTCACGGTGCCACGAAGCACGCTCTTCACTTTAGTTTGACTTTTGGGTTCCAGTTACAGGTATTTTGAAGCGCAGTAATTTCACGTAGCGCTACTTTGGGGGCGGGTTTCTTGGTGTCCATATTGAATAAAGGCTGTTCCTTCGCTTTTGAGTTGCGGCGTATTGCAGGTAAAGCCTAAGTTGTTACAAAAGCTCGAGCAGTTGGAGGAAACTCGGGTCTATCACAGAAATCGATGGAATCGATTGTGATGTGACAATTATATTAATTACTGGTTCTCGCCATGGTTACCGGGAGTTGAGAAACGATCTTGGTGAATAACTGCCCCTGGAAGCCATCCCCCGGAACCACCGTGTGGGAGGGACTGTATTTCTCTGAATACAATACATGAAATACAAAATGTTTAGCATGATTTTCCAAGTTAAATTAAGTACAGTACGGTGGTTTAATAACCATGATGTAAACTTACAGCAAAATTAAGAAAAAAGTTATGTTAATCTGAACAGAATCGGGTCTTTATTTTAAATGCTTTGCTTTTAAAAATCTAAAAACAGAAGCTGGGTTGACTGGTCTGAAGGTTGTAAGATTTAGTAGAAAGAGTCTAAAATTAAAAATTGTTAGTGATCTGAATTCCACTAGTGTGACCTTGGGAAAGTCACTGGTTCTGAGTGCCTTATTCTGTAAAGACGAGAATTACAATGGTTTTCTCAGACTTCTAGTATGTATATCCAGTATAAAGTAAGAATGTTTGGTTTGTAAGTGATAGTAATTGGTTTTTGTCTATAATACTTAAATAATTTAAAGTCATTAAGCCTTCCTCACCCCATTCCCCCAGTTTAGTGACAAGAGATCTAATTTTACACTTGATGTTAGCCAAAAGACTGAGAAGCTATTAGAGATCTAATTTTACATTTTGCCTGTATGTATAGTATTTCATCTTTAGATTCATTGGTCAAATTTTTCATCTTGACCTGAATTCATATTAAATCTCAAACTCTTTAAGAGTAGGATTAATGTCTTAATCATTTTTTAATGATTATTCCTAGTTTGGGTCGTTTTTTCCCTCCACCTCCACTCTACTCGCCCCCCCCCCCCCCCCGCCCCTTTTAATAAACCTAAACTGGCAAAACCTAAGCTTTGGATTCACCAAAACAAGCCAAAAGAATTTTACATGGAAAATACTATTTTCTGAAATTTGAAGATGTGCTTTTAGTTCACCTGTATAGACAGACAGACATGGGTTACAAGGAATTAGGTAAAGAATTTGATTGAAAGTAAGCCTTATTTATTTAGCATCACTCTCAGAGCAGACATACAGCAGTGGACTTTAACTCTGACAGCAACTTTGAATCACTTGGGGAATTCCAAAAATGTTGATCCCTGGGCCCTACTCCAGATCAGTTAATGAAACTCACTGGAGGGTGATACATGGGTATTCCATTTTTTTAAAGCTCCTGAGGTTACTGTGTTTTGCAGCCAGAATGAGAACCCTTGTGTTAAATGCGATTCTTCAGGAGTGTATCCAGTTTGCTTGAGGGACTGTAGCTGCATCTGGAAAATGTAGCCTTTAGGGTATTTGGGGGAATTATCAGCAGATATGATGAAAGTATGATTTGTAAAGTGAACTGTAGAGCAATCAAGGCCAGTGGAAAGGTGGTTACTAGAGAAACCAATGAGACCAGTAACAGTGAACTTTTATTCTTTTCTCTCCTGGGTATTAAATATTTTTGAAGAAAGTAATCATTTTAACTTGCAAACTGTATTTTGCCCTACCTAGTTAAAAGTGTACTTTTCAACCGTGAATGGATAGATTGTGGCACATGAATTTCATTATTGCTGATTATTAAAAAGTGTGTTAGAAAAACACATATCTCAAATAATGTTTCTTATTACTTACTAAATTATATCATTTCTCTTATTAGCTTTATGTTAATATGGGGGTTTTGGTTTTGCTTTTACAGTGCTATATAATTTATATTAAAGGCATGGTTTTCACCCTACTTCATCAACGCAGTTAAATTTTCATTTTGGACCCCTATTTTATACTACAATGGTAAGCTACAGCTCAGTATGTTATTTATGTTTTAGATTGTTCTCTTTCTTTTATTTCCATAAAAATATCTGTATTATAGATATAGAAATCCTCTTGTAATCTGTTCAAGTTCCCTGAGAAATTACTTAGTAATTACATGCAAAATTTTCTCCACAAAATAGGGGGCTCATCTCAATTCTGTGTTAAAATTATTACATCCAGGTTATACAGATAATCCACCTGTCTTTATCTTTATGAAACATTAAATAATATGTACTTCTATTTATCATAGTCCAAATCATTGGCAAGGAAGATGGGTATAAATATGATAGTTGTGGGGGTTTCTCATATTTTAAAGTTTCTCTTAATTTAGATTAAAAAAAATTTTAAACGAGTGTAATGTGCTTACTGTAAATAACATTTAAGAACATCAGTTTTAGTCTTCTAATGGCACATTTCTGTTCACTGACTTACAGTCACTAAACATATGTAGGGCTGGGCATTTAACTTTTGTAACTAAAAATTAAAAACAAAGGGGGGAAAAACACTTTCTAATGTTTAAATAACAGAATAAATAAACACTGACCACCATGTTGAATTAGCCTCAGAAAACATTTGTCTCCCTTCTTCCTTGGGATCTTGCTTCTCTACCCCTGCTCTATTAGAGACAAGAAGAGCAGTTGCAGTGAGGTTCACACCTTGCTTTATATTTTGTATTAGCTAATCATTTCTTTCTAAAGTATTTGAAGAAGGTAGTATATAAATGATGTTTGTATTTAAAGATATAGTTATATCTCACTAAATTTTTTGAAGTTTTGATTTCAGAAGTGAAATATTTACTTGAGAAGATTTACTATTTTAAATTGTCCTAGAGTGTATGTTTGACTATGTTTATTATAATTCTTTTATATAAATTTTAAGGTTTTGTGACCAAATAATTAAAAGAACCTTATGTATTTGTCAAGTATATATATCCAGAATGATGTTTTTGTGCTGGAAAATGTTTTATACTCAGGAATGTCATCTTGCCCAGTTTTGTTGGGAATCTGACCCTCATAAGATTTTTAAAATAAATTGCAAAACATTTATTTTAACTGAATCTTTTGAAAGTATATATTTCACTTATTACATTTTAGGTGTTTGATAATGTGGATTGTTTTTTATTGCAGTCTAAATTAAAAGGCCAGCTATTTTTGTAATCATTTGATTTCTTCATCCTTAGGACTAGGGTGGCAGGATCACTTAAACCTTTCCATGATTTCCAAAGTCTGGCAATATTTATTCTCCCTTTACCCTTTTGGGTTTTGGTGGATGCTGAGAGATTTTACCCCATGCAACTTGGTAGATTGAATTGTTGGAGTCTACAAAATAAAAGAGAACATTTTAGATCCTTGTAAATAAAAAAATGAAAGTTCTGTGCCTCTCAGTCATTAAAAATGACTATCATTGTGAATGAAAAATACAGTAACCCTGTACAGTACCCAAACCACAAAACTAGGAATAGAAATCACTGGCGGTATATTTGCTTAATTTTGTTTAAAACCTAGTACTTTTTTATTTTTTTGTGTCCTTAAAAAGAAACTTTACAGATAGGAAAGATAGAAATTATTTTCTCATTTTTCCCTCTTACCTTAAAATAAGGGTCTCCAAATAACAGATGAAGGATGGGAACCAACTAGTAGATCTTAAATTGTACATGTACTAATAATACTATATTTTATCAACTCTAAGGTACATTCATTCTCTTTTACATTTTAATATTTCTGAATTGAGGATGAATCTACAATCAATGACATCTTACAATTATAACTGATAGCACATTTTTTAAAATGTTACCTACATTAATGATGTGTGCTTATAGTTGATAGTATCTTAAAGTTGTTGAAATATGATAATTAGCCATTATTTATTGAATTCTAGGCACTGACCTAAAAACATGTTAAAGACTCTGCATTAATATATTAGGACTTTCTAAGTTGATGATAGGTATCAACATAGTAAGCACCCCCAATTTTCAGGATTCTTAGAAGATTAGGAGAGTTTAGTCTTTGCTTTACTTGAATTGCATACTTGATGTCCAATATATTTTACTGAATGGTGCTCTTAGAATGTTGAAGAAGCTAAAGTTTATAAAATGGTAGTAGTTACTATATCTAGCCCATTACCCTGTATCAGTCTCATGCAGTGGCCAAAGAAAGCTATTTTAGTATTTATCTAATTTGTTGTCATAATCAGGTGCCTAAGACTGCCATATTTTTTTCTTTATAATATACTAGACACCCAGTGCACAAATTTGTGCGTGGGTGGGGTCCCTCGGCCTGACTGGCCCAATCGGGGCCATTGGGGCCGCAGGAGGTTAACTGGCTGGGGAAAGGACTGCAGGAGGTTAACCAGCCGGCTTGATTGGGGCCGGTTGGCTGGCCAGGGGGAGGGACCGTGGGAGGTTGGCTGTGGGAGCACACTTACACCAGGGAGCAGCTTCTCCATTGAGCGCCTGCCCCTGGTGGTCAGTGTGCATCATAGCGATCGGTCGACTGGTGGTTTGGTCATTCGGTTGCTTAGGCTTTTACATATATAGATATTGAGCATACAGTGGGGGATGTGGGGGAGAGAAAAGGAAATATATTAGACTTATTTTAGAAAATTAAACTTACTTAATTACAAATGTTACATGTATATTATTATTTTTTGTGAAAATAGCTAACATTGCCAAATACACTATTTACTTTTTTACAGCAACAAGCTTTAGAACTAGCTTTGGATCGTGCAGAGGTAAGATGTGACTAAGTTATGTATTGACATAGTATTGACATTAATTGACAAAACTGTTTTAAGAGATTTTTGTCTGATTGTCAAAGGAATACATGAATATCATTTTATGGCAAATATGCACATTTTCTATAAATATGTATAAATATATAAATATATGTAAATATATAAATACTGGGCAATGTTTGAATCAACTGTTACTTGAAGTTCTCAGTTAATGCTATAGAATAAAAATTAAATAATACTTCAGTATAAATATTATTTAAACAGACATAGAATTTCTAAAATCATGTTTTCCTATTTTGACAAGTTTTCTGATTGCTCAATTGAAGGGGGAAATAGCCAAAAATAAAGTCCTTGCAATTGGATATGCTCTGCTTATTCTGAACAACCATAAAATATACTGAGAATATTTCTGAGTTGTGAAATCACATTTGCTTATAGCATTGAAATCTTATGCTAAATTTTAGTGCAGTTTAAATTTTACTTATTTATAACATACTTAAACTATTTAGAAGTTAAATAGGTTTTCTTACAATGTATAATTTAATAGGAATCAGAGACTTGAGTGACTGAATAGCCTTTTTAGCCTTACATGTGTTTTAAACATACTTAAAACAGTGTTCCTTCACTAAGTAAAAGGCAAGCTATTTCATAAACTTTTCTTTTTTAGTATGTCATTGAAAGTGCCCGACAGAGACCTCCTAAAAGGAAATACTTATCTAGTGGAAGGTATGAATACTTCATTAATTGATGACTTTAAATTCATTGAAATGTGATGAGAGCCACCATTTATTGCATTCTAAATAGGCACTACTAGAGATGTTATATTATAGGTACTTTGCATATATTAAAACTTTCTTAGTTGATGTTAGCCATGTCCACTTCACCTCCAATCTTTGGGAATTTGGGGGTGGGGAGGATGAGAAAATTTGATAACATTTATTTTACAATGATTATATTCACATTTTTTATATTGTCTTTATTAAATTTCAGAAAATCTGTATTTCAAAAACTTTATGACTTATATATTGAAGAATGTGAAAAAGAGCCTGAGGTTAAGGTAAGTATACTTTTTTTTATATTATTACGGCTTTTGAAATGTAGAGGGGGAAAAACTGTAGAGGAAGAGGATAATTTGAAAGGGTTACATTTGAAGCAGATATTTATATTTTTGTGAATGAGCTAACATCTTTTCCAGCCAAATTCTAGCCAGTTTTACAGCTGACTCAGAGCTCCGGCTAAAAGGTAGAGATCACATGCTTAGGCTAAAAGGTAGAGATCACCTGCTTAGGTAGGAGATGGGAACAGTGTATACTGAGTAACAGAATATCCCATTGGTAAATCAGAAGAAGTATACTAGTATATTGTGTGGGGCAAAAGGAGGTTTACAGTTCCAAGTAAGTGAAACAGAGTTTATTCTTATACATTATTACTTACTAGCTGTATTATTTTCCATATGAACAATTGTAAATCTATTGCCCTACCCTGTGTATTCTTTATTTATGTGTGTGTGTGTGTGTGTGTATCCTATCTAATAAAAGAGAAACATGGTAATTAGCTGTACCTCTGCTACCCTTCCCATTGGCTAATCAGGGCGATATGCAAATTAATTGCCAGCCAAGATGGCGGCTGGCAGCCAGGCAGCTTGAAGCGAACATGAGGCTTGCTTGCTTCAGTGACGGAGGACTCCAACTTTCCCGCCTGCCTTGCCGGCCTTTGAGCTTGCAGTTTGAAACATTGTAACAAACATAGAAGCTAAACAAAACCCCAGAAACCTGCTTTCAGCCAGCCGGGATCTCAGAGCTGGAGTTGAAACAGTGTTTCGATTATAGAACCCAAACAAACCAGATACCTGCTTTCAGCAGCCAAGGCCTAAGAGCTGGAGCCAAGCCTCAGAGCTAAAGCTGGCCCAGATTAAAAAAAAAAAAAAAGAAAAAAAGGAGTGGTTGGGAGCTTCAGTCACCCACCAGCCTGAAAACAGCCCTCAGCCCCTCACCCAGACTGGCCAGGCACCCCAGTGGGGACCCCCACCCTGATCCAGGACACCCTTCAGGGCAAACCAGCCGGCCCCCACCCGTGCACCAGGCCTCTATCCTATATAGTAAAAGGGTAATATGCCTCCCAGCACTGGGATCAGCGGAGCCGAGAGGCCTCCCTTGCCCGGGATCAGCGTGACAGGGGGCAGCGCCCAAATCCCCTGATCACCCTGCGGCTCTGTGACAGGTGGCGGGCCCACAACTTCCCTATCTGCCCTGCTCTGTTCGTGACAGGGGAAGGTGCCCCAGCCCCCTGATCAGCCCTGCTCTGTGCCTGATACGGGGGAGCTCCCCAACCCCCTGATTGCCCTGCGGCTCTGTGTGTGACAGGGTGCGACGCCCCAACCCCTTGATCAGCCCTGTTCTGTGTGTGATGGTGCAGCGCCCCAACCCCCCCACGGGCCCTGCTCTGTGTGTGACGGGGTAGAGCCATAACCTCCCCATCGGCCCTGCCCTGAGTGTGACAGTGGCGGCGCCCCAACCCCCTGATCGGCCCTGCTCTGTGGGTGATAGAGGGCAGCGCCCCAACCTCCCCCCCCCAACGGGCCCTGCTCTGTGAGTGACAGGGGGTGGCATTGCAACCTCCCCATCGACCCTGCCTTGAGTGTGATAGGGGGCGATGCCCCAGCCCCCCAATCGGCCCTACCCTGAGCGTGACTGAGGGTGGCATCGCAACCTCCCGATCCGCCCTGCTCTGTGCATGACGGGGCCGGCGCCCCAACTCCCCAATTAGCCCTGCTGTGAGCCCGACCAGGGGCTGCACCTAGGGATTTGGCCTGTTCTCTACCACCCAGGAGTGGGCCTAACCCAGCAGGTCGTTATCTCCCGAGGGGTCCCAGACTACGAGAGGGCACAGGCCTGGCTGAGGGACCCCCCCCCCACCCCCCGAGTGAACAAATTTTTGTGCACCGGTCCTCTAGTGTGTGTGTGTGTGTGTGTGTATAAATAAAATTGATATCAGAGAGGAAGGGAGAGGGAGAGAGAGAAACATTAATGATGAGACAGAATCATTGATCAGCTGCCTCCTGCACCCCTCTTACTGGGGATCAAGCCCTACTGCGGATGTGCCCTTCACTGGAATCAAACCTGAGACCATTCAGTCCATAGGTCAACACTCTGTCCACTGAGCCAAACTGGTTAGGCCCCACCCTGTATATTCTTTGTTTCTTTTCCCTTCTGAGAAAGCATTTAATGACTGAAGACAGGAGGAAAGTAACTTGTTTTCCTCATGGTAATTTGTACTGGAAAGTTAGAGCTAATATAGGGCATGTAGAAAATTCAGTTGTAATAAAAGGTGAATTTGGTCACAAAATTAGTTCATGGCCAGGTTAAATTAATTTTTTTTATTTAACATAAAAATATGGGCAGTTGAAATGTAATAAAAATTGATACCTTGATATTTATTGTGCTCTTAAGTTGTAAGGACCTTAAAGGGCTTTGTGAGCTTCTGTTATCTGTCCATTTAAAAATGAGTATCATTTTACCATTTAGGTTAAAAAAAAATCAGTGGAATTCCCAGTGCCTAACCTTTGAAATCTTCACATTAGGAGAAAAATGATTATTAAACTATAAATAAATCTTACAGTAAGTTTTGCATAAGTTTTGTTGAGGTATAATTGATGTATAATAAATTTTACATTAATAAAATAATAAAAATACACATTTTATAATTTTTGACATGTATACACCCATAAAACTATCACGATAATCAATTTAATGAACATTATCTTCACCTCAGAGACAGAACTAAGATAAGAGAGATATATAAAGATTCTATATTAGGATTGGCAACCATTGTCCACCAGCCAAATCTGGTTTACTGTGTATTTTGTAAATAAAGTTGTATTGGAATCCAGCCACCACCTATTGGCTTATGATATCTTTTCTATGGCTGATTTTACAATGCAATGACAGACCTGAGCAACACAGGCCATATGGCCCTCAAGCCTGAAGATACTGCTTGTCCTTTAAGAAATTTTCTGTCCTCTGATATGTATGTTCACTCCAGAACTACATGGGAACCAACTTGTTTTGTTTTTGTTTTTAAATTGAGGCTGGGGTGGGGGTAGGCCGGGGGGGGGGGGGGAGGGAGGGAGGGAGGGAGAGAGAGAGAGAGAGAGAGAGAGAGAGAGAGAGAGAGAGAGAGAGAGAGAGAGAAGGATCAATTGCATCCCACATACACCCTGACCGATGATTGAATCTGCAATCTGGGTATGTGCCCTGCCTGGGAATCAAACCCAGCATGGGATGCCACTCCAGCCAACTTAGCCACACCATTCATGAACCAACCGGTTATCTTGAAGAGTATGCATATTGTCAAAATTTATCTAACTATTCTGTCTAATGTCAGATTGTGAGGTTTTTTTCAACATTTGAAAAGACTTTAAAATTTTAGTAACCTTAGTAGTTATTTTTTATATCAAAGTGGTTAAAACTTATTTTGCCACTTTTTCAAATTTGAAAATGCAGTGTTTTGAGTCTGTGGTGACAACAGATCAAGAATTTATAATTACTTTCTGCATATGACTATAACTTTTTAATATATGATACTCAAAACATGTTTTTTGAGATCATGTAAAAATAAATATTCTATTGACTGATATCTTTCGCAAATAAGATTTCATGGCAGGAATTGTTTATGTGTAATTGGGCTTTATTTTAAGTCATGTACATTTCTAAAATAATGGATTTTGAAATATGCATATTATATTTTCTAATGGATTTTTTCTTTGCTTTTTAAAAATTTTTAAATTTTAATTTTTTTTAGAGAGAAGAAGGGAGAGAGAGAGAGAAACATTGATTTGTTGTTCCACTTATTTGTGCATTCATCGGTTGATTCTTGTATGTGCCCTAACCAGGATCAAACCTGCAACCTTAGTGTATTGGGACAATTTTCTAACCAACTGAGCTAGGTGGCCAGGACTCTGATGGATTTCTCTCTAACAGAGTGGTTTCTAAGGAGTAGTTAAATTGAATTTACAGAAAATTGCTTTAATTGCCCACTTCCTCTTAACAATTAGGTATTTTTTAGTTTAACATTCAATGAATTTGAGCTGTTGAACTTGTATAAATCAATTTAGGCCATAAAATATTTAAGAAATGTGCTCCTGTAACAGTACAACCAAAGAGAATGCCCCAAGTTCTTCATTTGTTTATATAGAATTATTTCACTTTTTTTGTTTTATAGATCACTGTTTTTTTCTTTGTGATATAAATTACTTTGCACAAAACAGCAATAGAAAATTAAGTTTACATAGATGTTATGTACTTGGCAACTATAGTGTTTGTGACTCTTCCCTATGTATTCAGCATCATATTGTGGAATGAGCTCTAAAAGATTAATTCAGGTCTGCTTTTGTTAAATCATAGTATTTTTTGTTAAGATTATGCTGGATTATTTTCATGAGCTCTGCTTATTTTTAAAGCAGAAATTAAGAAGAAATGTGAACTTGTTAGAGAAGCTTGTCATGCAAGAGACATTGTCATGCTTAGTGGTCAACCTATATCCAGGAAATGAGGGATATTCTTTGATGCTCAGGGGAAAAAATGGATCAGGTAAGAACCTCCAGAGGGCAGCAGCCACAAAAGTCCCTCTGCCTGGCAGAATGTGCTTTTTCTTTTAATATATTTTTATTTATTTCAGAGAGGAAGAGAAAGGGAGAGGGAGAGATAGAAACATCAATGAGAGAGAATCATCAATGGGCTGCTTCCTGCACGCCCCTTACTGGGGATCAATCCTGGAACCCGGGCATGTACCCTGACCTGAAATTGAACTGTGACCTCCTGGTTCATAGGTTGATGTTCAACCGCTGAGCCATGCCACCTGGGCAGATGTGCTGTCCTTTAGAAGGATTTTCTTAACCTGGTAAATGGTCTGTCCTTCAGATCAGTGATGACATGATAAAAGAAGACTTTTATCCCAACTTTTCCTCTGTATTTTGTTAGAATATTAGAAATTATCTCTAATATGATTAACCTTCCTGAAATATGCATTTGAGGAGTGTTTTTTTGGCGGGGGGGCGGGGAGAACTTCAGATTTTATTCTTGGTGCAGTGGAAGCCACTGAAAAGTGTTTTTTTTCCCCTATTTTTTAATTGTATTTTATTGTTTAAAGTATTATATATGTCTCCTCCCCCCCACCCCCCCATCGACCCCTCCCCGGCCACTCCCATCCCCCAGGACAATCCCCCGCTACCCCAGTGTCCAGGTCCATTGGTTATGCTAGTATGCATGCATGCAAGTCCTTTAGTTGATCTCTTACCCCTTCCCTCCCCCTGCCTTCCCTCTGAGGTTGGACGGTCTGTTCCGTGTTTGAGGATTGTTCTGATTGAGACAGGTCATTGCAGTTAAATTGTAAAAGATGTAATTTAAAAATGTCAAAACCCTTTCATTCAATTGCTGTTAATATTTTAAGATAGCATAAGGTGTTTTAAGTTATGTTTTTCTTCTACAGTTTGAATATACTGAATCTGAAACTTTAAAAATTAGGCAGACTTATTGCCTTTTGAGTAATTTACATATGTTAACATTTTAATGTGAATATGAAAATAGAGTTTTAAAATATATATAATCTTAGATTTCATTAAAGGGCCATCACAAATTTTGGTATAGTGATATTATGAGTTCTACAAGGAACTCACCTGGTTAAGTGTTGATAATTGTAAAATGTTACACCGAGAGAATTTTGTTCTGTAATGACCATTTTTCACATTAGGTACCAAATTATCACTGATTTCCAGATTAGATTAAGCAGTCTTCAATGACTTTTCAGTTATTAGACATTGGAATTTTGTCATATTCTAATTATTGTACTGCTGGTCATAATTTGTATTTTGATTGTTATGCTAGATGTTTTCCCATGCTAGATGTTATGCTAGGTGGTTTTCTCCTTTTTGATCTAAAGTTCTTTTTTCTTTTAAACTATGTTTTTACTGATTTTAGAGAGAGAGGAAGGGAGAAGGATAGAGAGATAGAAACATCAATTGGCTGCTTCCTGCACACCTGCACTGGGAATGGAGCCAGCAACCTGGCAGGGAATCCAACTGGTGACCTCTTGGTTTTTGTTCAATGCTTAACCACTGAGCCATACTTGCCAGGCACCCTAATCTAAAATTTAAGTCTTTTAGCAATATGTAAAGTGATTCTTTTATAAGACATGCAGAAAGAAGGCCTTTAGGAGAGCCTTTTGGCTTTATTCTCTTTGGATTTCTTTTTTAGAAAACTCATTTAAATTATGCACCCAGCCTCATACTTTTCCGAAACTTTTTTTTTTTTTAAATTAAGATTCTGAGACCATTCGACTGCCTTATGAAGAAGGGGAATTGCTTGAATACTTGGATGCAGAAGAATTGCCTCCTATCTTGGTTGATCTCCTAGAAAAATCTCAGGTGCAAATTTTTTCTTTTAAACATGTCCTTAGATTTGTCAACTATGTTGTTTTATAATAAAGGATATTTATTTGTATTCTCAACAGTGCTTAGGACATGAAATGAAACATCAGAAACAATATGAAAATTGGTTTATTGTGGGTTATGTATCCTTTAGGCTATACTGAAATGTGTAGATTTAGTTGATTCTTTTATAATTGCTATGAAAATTAGCTCATCCCCAGGAAATCTCCCTTTGACTTCAATAAATAAATTATGGAAGAAACCACTTATTTCCTTGGCTTCACCCCAGCCATATTCTGTTCTTTACTGAGGAAAAGGAAGCCATCAGATGAGTGCTAGGAGATGTTTTCTTCCTAGCACTAGTTTACCAGCATCTCCACATCTCTGTCCCCACTTTCTGCCTGCCTTCCTATTGAAATGGATGAAGTAAGCTGTTCCTAAGGCATCTCCTCCTTTTTTTTTTCTGGATCCTCCTCCTTTTCAGTGGCTTGCTACTATGACCTTGCTCCCTCTCTTCTATCATCTGTTCTCTCTCTTTTAGTTAAAAAAAATACGGGCATATTAGTACTATCTCTTAACTTGAAAAATCCTTTTCTGTTTGCATCTGAATTGGTCTCTTTGCAAAACTCAGTGCAGATGACTACTTCCTTCTTGAAATAACTTTCTTTTGGCTTCTGAGACATCACATTTGTGGTTGTCCTCTTTTCTCTGTAATGCTTCAGTCATCTTTGCTGTTAACTCTTCCACCCATAAATATGTGTGATTTTGGGTTCATTCCTAGCCACTGTATTCTTTAGTAACACTCTCTCCCTGGTTGATTTCAACCAGCTTTATGAAATTTAAAATGACATTTAATTTCTTGCTTATCTCTCTCACAGTTACCATTCCAAACACATATTTACTAGGATATGTAATAAGCTCTTTAACTTAACATGACAAAACACAACTTTTTATTTTACCTCCTAAACCAGTTTTGTTGCCAGTATTTTGAATCTTTAAAGGGCTACCCTACTCTTACCTTTTACACCTAGCTCATATGCAAATATCAACTGTATCTTGAAAATATATGGTCATGACCTGCTGTAGTTACTTTGCTAAACTTCCTGCTTTCATTTTAGAACCCGAGAAATAAATTTTCCAGAGATTAAGCTTACAAAACAAAAACAAAAAGAGGTCCCTGCTTGAAGTTCTGTAGTGTCCTCTCAATGCACAAAACCCCTGCCTTCCTCTTCACATTCTGATTCTCATTTCCACTCATTACACTCCAGTCATGTGTGCCTTCTTTCCAAACTAAAACACCAAGCTTATTGATCTGCTATTCTTTCTGTCTGGAGTGATCTATTCCACATACCTGGCATTGTTGCGATTCAGATCTCTGCTGAAACATCACTTCTTCAGAGAGGTGTTTATCTCAGCAAACAATCTAAATTAGCCCCTTCCTGTTTTATTTCCTTTGTAGTATTCATCACTGTCTAAAATTATTTTGTTTATTTTTTTACATGTTTATTACCTGTCTTCCCACACTGGAGAACAAGTATTGTCTCACCACTGTATCTGTGAAGCTTTTTGGATAGTGCCTGGCACATAGTTCATATTGTAGTAACTCAATAAATATTTGTTAAAAAGCATAACAGATAGCATGGAGGTCACAGTTCCCACTTAAAATCTGAATGGGAGAAAAAACAATACTGTGAGTGATTGACAAGTGATAATTAGGAAGATTTAAGCCATAAAGGCTCTTTGGACTTAGAAAAAGGACTAGGAAACTATTTTTAACAGAAGATTATTTTAATTTATAGTTAGCTTTCTTCCTTTTATTAATAAAGACCGCTGGAAATTTTAGCAAATAATAGCAATTTTATCTCTAAGCTGAAACTCTAACAGGGTTGATGGACAATAACTGAAAAAATTAGCAAAGTATAAATGAGCCAATTAACAGCAATTTCAATGATCTGTAATATAAAATACAAATACCAAAAGTCAGTCTATAACTAGAAATCATTTTAAATTGCTTCTTGGGTCAGAGTAATGAACAGGAAATAGTTCCTTTTAAAGGGTTTATGTATGTAGTGGTAAACCCTCCAAGAAAAGCTGTTTAGGAGTATGTTAGGGAACAGAAACACTGCATGAGAGTGTAAAGAATCCGAAACATTCAATATAAACCCACTTATTTAGGCTTTTGAAAAAGGACATTTACTCAAGTATTTTCACTTAAAACAGGTTAATATTTTTCATTGTGGATGTGTCATAGCAGAAATACGTGACTACAGGCAGTCCAGCAATATGAAATCTCCAGGTTACCAAAGTAAGCACATTCTCTTACGTCCAACAATGCAGGTAAGGCATGTTTAAGAAGTATTATTTAGAATTTATTTGAAAAATTTTTATTAAATGTCTTCATATATTTGTATGCCTATACATTAATGTGTTTTTAAATTTTTTATTTGTTCTAGACTTTAATCTGTGATGTACATTCAATAACAAGTGATAACCATAAATGGACCCAGGTTAGTTGTGTTGTTTTTAAATCCCATACAGGCAAAATAGAGGATAAAACGACACTTATCATTAAGTTAAGCGAAGGATACTTTCTGCTCATAATTTTATTCATGTGTAAAGTTTGGGATTTCTTTTTTTTTTTTTTTTAAATATATTTTATTGATTTTTTACAGAGAGGAAGGGAGAGAGATAGAGAGTTAGAAACATCGATGAGAGAGAAACATCGATCAGCCGCCTCCTGCACACCTCCCACTGGGGATGTACCCGCAACCAAGGTACATGCCCTTGACCAGAATCGAACCCGGGACCCCTCAGTCCGCAGGCCGATGCTCTATCCACTGAGCCAAACCAGTCAGGGCAAGTTTGGGATTTCTTTATAAGCTTTAGAAGTTAAGGGTCTCTGTATGTGTAGTAATACCTCAAGGAACTAAAACAGTTTAATCCCATTTGCTTTAGGACATGGTGAAATAGGGTCAGGTTGACTTTATCTGCCCAATGTGAAACTTAGTTTTTTAAACCCCTCTCAAAGAAAAGAAAGATGTTTTGTTTGTACAGTGGTTATAAATAGATACTGATTTTCTATCATCTAGGATTCTAAAACAGGCTTAGTCTGTCTTTACCATTCATAGTGGGATACTCTTGCTCCTGAGAATAGCCAGTACCCCTCCAGTGCTGGCTCAATATATCTGAAAGGCCCACTCACAGGAATGTTCACTTATTTCTCTGCTGCTATAGAGAGAAATAGTTACTAAACCAAAGAAAATATCAATAATTAGAATTACTTAATCTATGAAAATATTATAAAGTAAGATTCAGTTTATCAATAACTATCAAGTGTTGTGTTGTACTTTCGGACTATAATCTTTCTGTTTAAAACAAAATATTAAAAACATTAAAAGAATATTCAAAAACAAACTCGTTGAGTACCACTGAAGGTTGTAAGGGCATTAGTTTCTTACACTGAAAATTGATAAATAAATCGACAAACTATAGTATTTATTCTGTTTTTCTGTAGGATTTATACATTAGATAGCCCAATAGTAACTAAAGGTAATTCTTCTTTAGAACAATTTCAGCTAATAGCTACAAAAGAAATGATAGACTTGAAAATATCATCACTTGGCTATCTCAATGAAATAATGAATTTAGACAGCTGAAATTTTCAGATTTGAAAAAAACCATTAGATTATAGGTTAATAGGAATTTTTATAATGGAGAGATCTGACTAAACCCACTGGTCTAAAAGTAGGATAATCATTGTGTATGTCCTGGTGTGATGCCTGAAAAGGTACACAATAATACCAATGAACTCTTGTCTAAAAATATAGAACCTGAATTAAGTCTCTCCTCTACATCTAACAGTTATAGAGAATTTAGGGAATAAAAGAAATAAATGGCAAGATGAAGCAACCAGCCAGATTCAGTTAAAAATGGTATCATGGGGAAGGAAGTGGTCAAATCCAACAAATCAGTTATGTTAGAAAAGAAAAAATGTTATCATTACAGAATAAAAGAAAGATGTTTAAGAGAGAAAAACTAAAATACAATGTGTAGGTCTTATTTGAGTTCAAATTCAAACAAACCAATTAAAAATACATTTTTGAGATAATGGGAATTTTGTAGACTGGATATTAGTAGTCCTTATCAGTTAACAGTGCATGCTGAAGTGTTTTCGGGTGAAATAATAGTGTCAGAGATGTATTTTAAATTATTCCAGCAAAACAAAAACAAAAAAATTTAGAGGGGCAAGTAGTTAAATAAAATTGGGTGTTGGTACATCCTATATACTCTTTGGAATTATGTATGTAGGGTTTACATAGTATTAGTGTAGTCATCTATACTGATAAAAGGGTAATATGCTAATTAGACTGGGAGACCTTCCGGACAAAGCCATGGTGGCAGGGCCGAAGCAGAGACGGTTAGGGGTGATCAGGCCAGGAGGGGAGGGCAGTTGGGGGCGAGCAGACCAGCAGGGGGGACCAGTTGGGGGTGAGCATGTTGGCGGGAGGGCAGCAGTTGAGGGCGAGCAGGCTGGCAGGCAGAGTGATTAGGGCAATCAAGCAGGCAGGCAGGTGAGCAGTTGGGAGCCAGTGGTCTCGGATTACGAGAGGGCTGGCCAGTCGGACAGCCCCTGAGGGGTCCCAGATAGGAGAGAGTGCAGGCTGGGCTGAAGGACACCCCCAACCCCATGCATGAATTTTGTGTACCGGGCCACTCGTCTATATATACATATATATATATATATATATATATATATATATATATATATATGTATGTATGTATGTATGTATATCCTATCTAATAAAAGAGAAACATGGTAATTAGCCGTACGTCTGCTACCCTTCCCATTGGCTGATCAGGGCAATATGCAAATTAACTGCCAGCCAAGATGGCGGCCGGCAGCCAGGCTACTGACACGAACAGGAGGCTTGCTTGCTTCAGTGACGGAGGACTCCAACATTCCCCGCCTGCCGCTGCTGGGCTTTGAGCTGCTAAGAAACATTGTTACAAATATAGAAGCTAAACAAAACCCCAGAAACCTGTTTTCAGTCAGCCAGGATCTCAGAGCTGGAGTCGCAACAAAGTTTCAAATACAGAAAGTAAACAAAGCCAGAAACCTGCTTTCAGCAGCGAGGTCTCACAGCTAAAGCGGGCTCTCAGCTCCAGTGACAGCCATAAATCCAAGAATTAAAAAAAAAAAGGAAAAAAGGAGCGGTTGGGAGCTTCAGTCACCCACCAGCCTGAAAACGGCCCTCAGCCCCTCACCCAGACAGGCCAGGCACCCCAGTGGGGACCCCCACCATGAAGGGGGTGTGACCAGATGCAAACAGCCATCATCACCTCATCCAGGCTGGCCAGGCACCCAAGCGGAACCCCTACCCTGATACAGGACACTCTTCAGGGCAAACTAGCCGGCCCCCACCCGTGCACCAGGCCTCTATCCTATATAGTAAAAGGGTAATATGCCTCCCAGCACTGGAATCAGCGGAGCCGAGAGGCCTCCTGGCCCCTGGAGCAGCGTGACGGGGCAGCGCCCAAACCCCCTGATCACCCTGTGGCTCTGTGTGTGACGGGGTGGGGCCACAACCTCCCTATCCGCCCTGCTCTGTTCGTGACAGAGGAAGGCGCCCCAACCCCCTGATCGGCCCTGCTCTGTGCCTGATAGGGGGGAGCTCCCCAAGCCCCTGATTGGCCCTGCCCTGAGTGTGACAGTGGCACCGCCCCAACCCCCTGATCGGCCCTGCTCTGTGCGTGACAGGGTGGTGCCACAACCTCCCCATCCACCCTGCCTTGAGTGTGACGGGGCGGTGCCCCAACCCCCCAATCGGCCCTACCCTGAGCCTGACTGAGGGTGGCATTGCAACCTCCCAATCCACCCTCTCTGTGCATGACAGGGGGCGGCGCCCCAACTCCCCAATCAGCCCTGCTCTGAGCCCAACCAGGGGCTGCACCTAGGGATTGGGCCTGCCATCTGCCACCCGGGAGCAGAACTAAGCCAGCAGGTCATTATCTCCTGAGGGGTCCCAGACTATGAGAGGGCACAGGCCGGGCTGAGGGACCCCCCCCACACAAGTTCACAAATTTTTGTGCACCGGGCCTCTAATATATATATGAAAGCCAAGCGACTGGAACAGTGGAATGACCAGAACAACCAGTTGCTATGATGTGCAATATGGTGGCCAATTGCCCCCCGCAACTTCCCATGGCCCCACCCCTAGCTGGCCCCACCCCCAATTAGCTCCCCCAACCCTAATTGGGGGCATTGCCAGCTGGCCAACCACCCACGACCCCTCCCCTCAGCCAGCCTGGCCCCAATGAGCCCCCATTAGGGTGGGCTGGCCGGACCTCACCCGTGCACGAATTTGTGCACTGGGCCTCTAGTTTTTTTATAATGAAATGAAGCTGAGTATATAATTGGGACTATTACTTCCTAGTTATTAAAAATGCTCTGATCCCACCTTGATCACCCTATAAGCCTTGTAGAAGAGGATTTTAACTGTTTTGTTCACTACTTTATCCCCCACTCCTAGAACAACGCCGAACACATAGTAGGTGTTCAGTAAATATTTGCTGGATTAAGGAGAAGCATCCTTACAATTTGACCACTTTGTATACTGTACTGATTACTGAATTTCTATTAGTAGTTTCATTATGATGTCAAGTTTCTGAAGTTTATCCACTGAATTAGAACTTGAAATAATATATTTTCTGTAATCCTTAGCAGAGCTCAGAGGAATATATTCTAGATTAAGTGATATGTTTGATTTGAAAATCTTAAGTTTGGTACTGACATGTGCTCTTACACATTTCAGGAAGACAAACTTTTGCTTGAGAGCCAACTGATCCTAGCTACAACTGAACCACTGTGTCTAGATCCTTCTATAGCTGTAACATGTACTGCAAATAGATTGCTCTATAACAAGCAGAAGATGAACACACACCCAATGAAACGGTAATTACCTTTGTGGAAAGGTAAACCAAAAGATGCTCCTAAATAAGTAGCTCTAAATTTTGCTATTTCTGGTACCTTATCCCTCTCAAAGTATGTAAGTGCTGTGTATTTGTTTTTTAAATAGGATTTTTAATTGCTTTGTATTATTTTCTTTGTGTATTATAAGTTTCTTAATACTTTTGGTTTTGTATTGAAGTGATGCATTCTTTGTATTTTTTTAAAATATATTTTTATTGATTATATTTATTTCAGAGAGGAAGGGAGAGGGGGAGAGAGATAGACACATCAATGATGAGAGAGAATCATTGATCTGCTGCCTCCTGCACACCTCCCACTGGGGATTGAGCCTGCAACCCAGGCAGTGTGCCCTTACTGGGAATCGAACCACGACCTCCTGGTTCATAATGTCGATGTTCAGGCACTGAACCATGCTGGTGAGGATGTATTCTTTTGAAGAACAAAATTTCTATAAGTTTAGAGTCTATTCACCAAAACGATAAAGACATTTATGAACAGAAATAATTACTTTTTTTTTACTTCCTAATCTCCAGTAACCAGTTTAAATTTTGTTAATATTACTTTTAAAGAAATGATAAAAAATTTATTTTGAGATATAGAAAAATACAGTTTTAGAAGTCAGTTTATAACTAAATGCTTTTTTATAACATGGTAATTTATCTTTAAATGTTTTATTTCTTCTTAATAAAACTAATGCATATAAATTTGGACTGCAGTTATAATTGGTTCATCATTAAGTTCTCTTTACATAACTGTTTGAGTTGCCCATTTTGGATCTTCACCAAATTTGAAGGAGCTTAAAACACCTATGCATTTTCTAAATCTTTGACTTATTATTGAAATAAGATATGCTGAGGAAATGATATGTCTTTAGAAATAATGAAATAAAGCTATATTGGATCTGTCAGAAGCCCTAAAGAGTCTCCTTGTATTCTTGTCCACATCTCTTCATGCCCAATGCCATTACGTTGGTCCAGGCCACCATAATCATCATAGCTTCTATAATAAGCTCTTTCCTGATTGATTTTCCTGCTTTCACCTCCGATCCCTTCTGGTCTATTCGTTATGTAAGCAAGCCAGAGTAATCTTAAAACATCAAAGCAGATCATGCTACCACTTGTCTAAATTTACCTAAAAGCATTCCATCACTCATACTAAATCTAAACACATTATCATTGATCTGTAAGGCCTTGTTCTCTGACCTCATCTCCTATGTGGACCCTGATGCACCTATCTTTTCTGCTTTTAAAACAAAATAAGTTTGTTTCTATCTCAGCACCTTTTAAAATTCTTTCTACTTCAAATACTAATATCCTAATTTTGTATAGCTGGTTCCTTGTCATTCATGTCTCCCGTCACATTTCATTTCTTCAGTTTTTTCCTTCTCTAATACTGCCTTTTTTTTTCTTTTTTAATATATTTTATTGATTTTTTACAGAGAGGAAGGGAGAGAGATAGAGAGTCAGAAACATCGATGAGAGAGAAACATCGATCAGCTGCCTCCTGCACATCTCCCACTGGGGATGTGCCCGCAACCCAGGTACATGCCCTTGACCGGAATCGAACCTGGGACCCTTCAGTCCGCAAGCCGACGCTCTATCCACTGAGCCAAACCGGTTTCGGCTAATATTGCCTTTCTTATCTCTTACTGCAATATCCTGTTTTTCTGCTACTGCTTATTGCTATCTGAAATGATTTTACCTGTTTATACCTGAATGTCTGTCTTCCACACTGGACTGTCAGCTCCATGGTTGCAGGAATTTTGTTTGTCTTGTTCATTTTTATTTCACTGGTGCCTAGGACCATGCTTGGCAAGTGGTGATATTCTACAGATACTTGTGATTTCATTACATATTTAATGCTTACTTATTTAAACCCATATTTATTCTGAATTTCTTTTATTAGCTTAGTTTATTTCAAATCTCTTAATATTTCAGGTGTTTCAAGAGGTATTCCAGGTCCTCTCTGAATCGACAGCAGGATCTGTCTCATTGTCCACCTCCTCAGCTAAAGTTACTTGATTTCTTACAAAAAAGAAAGGAAAGAAAAGTAGGTCAGCATTATGACCTCAAAATTTCTAAAGCAGGAAATGTAAGTAGTATATTTTTAAAATGAAGCTTATTATTATGCCAAAATCCTTGCCTTATTTTGAATTTTCAGAATCTTTATACTGTTTTTAATTTTTCAGTGTGTAGATATGTGGAAAAGGAGTCCCTGTAACTTGACTGTACCTTCTGAAGTGGATGTAAGTTGATTCATGAATTTCACTTATTTTTATATAAGGTTCCTAAGTTTAATTAATAGTAGCTTATACTTTGGGCAAACAAAGAATCTTACTTTTTTTATAAAAAAAAAAATAATGAATTGTTCTTTAAACAAGCTGCTCAGTTTTAGAAGGTATATTCTTCTTTTACATTTACTTGTGTAATAAGACTGTAACTCTTATTACTGTGTTTAGAGCAGGAATAATAACCAAAGAATTTTAAATCATGGGAAAAGTTGATACATATTATATAATATGCATAAAATGCCTTTTTTTGTTTTTAATATTTTATCATATTTTCTAGCAATGCTTCTTCCTCAAACTGGGTAAATTTAAAAATTAACAATATTAGAGCAGTGGCCAAGATGAGGAACCTTGGGTGGTATTCTTTGGTGGTCTATAATATGCATGATCAAAGACAGGAAAGGGATCTTCTGATGTCTCTAGTTATTTTATTTTCCTATTCCTTTCTTCTGCATTTTTTATTATTTACTCAACTTTTTATAATTGGTTAGTTATTTTAACAGATGTTTGTTCTTCTGCATTCTTTCCAAGCTAACACATGTACTATTCTTATTATCTACTAGAGGCCTGGTGCATGAAATTTGTGCACTTGGAAGATCCCTCAGCCCGGCCTGTGCCCTCTTGCAGTCCGGGAGCCCTCAGGGGATGTCCGACTCCATGGGGAGCGGGCCTAAACCAGAAGTCAGACATCCTTAGTGCTGCCACGGAGGCAGGAGAAGCTCCTGCCCCTGCCGCTACACTCACCAGCCGTGAGCCCGGCTTCTGGCTGAGCAGTTCTCCCCTGTGGGAACACACTGCCCACCAGGGGGCAGCTCCTGAGTTGAGTGTCTCCTGGTGGTCAGTGCACGTCATAGCAACTGGTCGATTTGCATATTAGCCTTTTATTATATAGGACTAGAGGCCCGGTGCACAAAAATTTGTGCACTCGAGGGGAAGAGGGGGGTACCTCAGCCAGGCCTGTGCCCTCTCGCAGTCTGGGACCCCTCGGGAGATAACAACCTGCTGGCTTAGGCCTGCTCCCGGGTGGCAGAGGGCAGGCCCAATCCCTAGGTGCAGCCCCTGGTTGGGCTCAGAGCAGGGCCGATTGGGGAGTTGGGGCGCCGCCCCCTGTCATGCACAGAGCAGGGCGGATTGGGAGGTTGCGATGCCACCCTCAGTCACGCTCAGGGTAGGGCTGATGGGGAGGTTGGGGCACCGCCCCGTCACACTCAAGGCAGGGTTGATGGGGAGGTTGTGGCGCCACCCTCTGTCACGCACAGAGCAGGGCCAATCAGGGGGTTGGGGCGCTGCACCCTGTCACGTACAGAGCAGGGCCGATCAGGGGGTTGGGGAGCTTCCCCCGTCACGCACAGAGCAGGGCCCATCAGGGGATTGGGGAGCTCCCCCCTGTCACACACAGAGCAGGGCCCATCAGGGGGTTGAGGAGCTCCCCCCTGTCACTCACAGAGTAGGGCCAATAGGGGAGTTGGTGCACCGCCCCCTGTCACACACACAGCAGGGCGGATCAGGGGGTTGGGGCGCCGCCACTGTCACACTCAGGGCAGGGCCGATGGGGAGGTTATGGCTCTACCCCGTCACACAGAGAGCAGGGCCCGTGGGGTGGGGAGGTTGGGGCGCCGCACCCTGTCACACACAGAGCCGCAGGGTGATCAGGGGGTTGGGGAGCTCCCCCCTATCAGGCACAGAGCAGGGCCGATCAGGGGGTTGGGGCGCCTTCCCCTATCACGAACAGAGCAGGGCCGATAGGGAGGTTGTGGCCCCGCCCCCTGTCACACACAGAGCCACAGGGCGATCAGAGGGTTTGGGCGCTGCCCCCTTTCACGCTGATCCCGGTGCCGGGAGGCCTCTCAGCTCCGCTGATCCTGGTGCTGGGAGGCATATTACCTTTTACTATTTAGAATAGAGGCCTGGTGCATGGGTGGGGGCCAGCTGGTTTGCCCTGAAGGTGTCCTGGATCAGGGTGGGGGTCCCCACTGGGGTGCCTGGCCATCCTGGATGAGGAGATGATGGCTGTTTGCAGCTGGTCACACACCCTTCAGGGTGGGGGTCCCCACTGGGGTGCCTGGCCAATCTGGGTGAGGGGCTGAGGGCTGTTTTCAGGCTGGCGGGTGACTGAAGCTTCCAACTGCTCCTTTTTTTCTTTTTTCCTTTTTTTCTTTTTTTAATTCTGGGCCAGCTTTAGCTCTGAGGCTTGGCTCCAGCTCTGAGGCCTCAGCTGCTGAAAGCAGGTATCTGGTTTGTTTCGGTTCTATAATTGAAACTCTGTATCAACTCCAGCTCTGAGATCCCAGCCTTCTGAAAGCTGGTTTCTGGGGTTTTGTTTAGCTTCTATATTTGTTACACTGTTTTTTAAACTGCAAGCTCAGAGGCTGGCAAGGCAGGCGGTGACGTTGCAGTCCTCTGTCACTGAAGCAAGCAAGCCTCATGTTCAGTTTAAGCTGCCTGGCTGCCAGCCGCCATCTTGGCTGGCCGTTAATTTGCATATCGCCCTGATTAGCCAATGGGAAGGCCAATTACCATGTTTCTCTTTTATTAGGATGATTTAAAAAAAAATTGTGAAAAGCACAAAGCCAAAATCATTAAAAGTAGACTGAATATGTAACTCAGAGTAAGCCACATTATCTTTTGGTAATTTATGTACTCCTCTAGGAATGCAGCCTGCGAAAGAGATATTTAGTGTAACTACCAAAGGGTGAAATATAGATTTAGAGGGCAGGCTGGATATCTAAAGCAGTGCTTACCAAACTTTAATGTATATATGAATCACCTGGATTGCTTGCAGATTCCAATTTAGCAAGCTTGGGCTCAGGCCTGAAATGCTGCAGTGCTGACAAGCTCTTAGGTTGTGTTGTACTGAGGTCCACAAACCACACTTTGAGTAACAAAGCCCTAATACACAGTTTCTCGATCTGGCTTGATTAAATGAAATCGTCCAGGATACCAGTTAAACATAGATTTCAAGCTTCACTTCATACCTACTTACTGAATCAGATCTCTAGGATAGGGACATGGAAATCCCAATTTTTACCAGTTACCCAGGTGAGTCTAAGTTACTCTTAAGTTCATAGTTAGCCTTAGCCAGTGGTCGGCAAACTGCGGCTCGCGAGCCACATGCAAATCTTTGGCTCCTTGAGCGTGGCTCTTCCTAAGCCTTAGGAGTACCCTAATTAAGTTAATGACAATGTATCTACCTATATAGTTTAAGTTTAAAAAATTTGGCTCTCAAAAGAAATTTCAATCATTGTACTGTTGATATTTGGCTCTGTTGACTAATGAGTTTGCCGACCACTGCTGCTGGTTTGACTCAGTGGATAGAGTGTTGGAGTAAAGGGTCTTGGGTTTGATTCTGGTCAGGGGCATGTACCTCAGTTTCAGGCTGCTCCCCGGCCTGGGCCCTCTTTAGGGAGTGTGCAGGAGGCAACCAATTGATGTGTTTCTCTCACATCGATATTTCTCTCTGTCTTTCCCTCTCTCTTCCACTCTCTCTAAAAATCAATGGAAAAATATCCTCAGGTGAGGATTAAAAAAAAACATAAACAAGGTCATGGTTATCAGAAATATGAGAGCATTTGACTTGCACAGACTAGTAGGAAATATACAATATATATGGCCCAAGTCTGACTAAAAACTGGGAAAGATTCATATAGATTTGATCAAGTTTAATGTAACTTCCTTAGGTCCCTTCCAGTTTTGTCCCCACTGTTACATGCTAGCTCCTGTTTCGTTAAAAATCCAACCAATGGGAAAGATGCTGATCCTAATCACCTCTCAGACATTCTGATTTTCCTAAAGGACAAATGTGATACAATTTATGGAATAAAAAGAAGAGGCACTGTCTAAGAAAGTACTGTATTTATGGTGTTTGTTTAATGGCAAATAATTTGATTCTAATTTTGTTTTATTTTAAAAACCAGTTAGTGTAATTCAGGGGTCCTCAAACTACGTCCCTCGGGCCACATGCAAATACAAATATTGTATTTGTTCCCGTTTTGTTTTTTTACTTCAAAATAAGATATGTGCAGTGTGCATAGGAATTTGTTCATAATTTTTTTTTAAACTGTAGTCCGGCCCTCCAACGGTCTGAGGGACAGTGAATTGGCTCCCTGTTTAAAAAGTTTGAGGACCCCTGGTGTAATTGAATATATCAGGAAAGTTTTAAACTACTTAAGATGGTAGTCAGTGATATTAGTGACTCAAGAATTCTTGTGCTAAAAAGTATATAGTATTGTTACTTAGATTCTTCTCTTTGGTCTTAATACTGATTTCATTATATCTCGTATCTCTTGATTTGATTGCTTAGGTGGAGAAATATGCTAAAGTGGAAAAGTCTATCAAATCTGATGACTCACAACCAACAGTCTGGCCAGCCCATGTAAGTAACCATTATAGTCTTCATTTCTAATGTTCCTAATCTGGGATCTGAATTTTTTAAACAAAGTGTGGCTTCCAGTTTAAAAGGTAATTTTAATTTTAATGCATAACTGCATTTTTACTTTTGCTTTGGTTGCATATTGATGGTTCTGATTTGTTTTGCTTCAAATTAGTAAGTAGTAAGTTATTTTAAGTATGTTTCCTAAGGAAGTATTCTATGTAAGTTTCCCTATTTGTAATAATAACGGGAGAAATGGGCATAATTTATTAAATAAAGTAAATGTGGAAGTGAAATGTCTTCCTATTGCCAAATCTGTTAGTATGTCATTTATGTCTGATTTTTGTTAATTCTGATTGTGTCTACTAGAGGTGTTTGTCTGGAGTGTAGGAAAGAACGGTTTAAAGAGTTTATCTGAGCCAAAGCTAAAGGCTAGATCCAGAAGCAAAATCTCAAAAGATTGAGAGAATACCCTAAAGAATAAGTTTTATAGCTTACTTTATATGTTTTAATCAAAGGGAAAGACAAGAAGGAAGGTTACATGAAAGCCATTGGTGGTAAATTAAGGAAGCAGGAGATGGTAAAGCAGGGAAATCTCTTGAATTGGATAAAAAGTAAAAGAGTGGTAATTTTTTTTTTCCACTGGTGGCTGCAGGATAGTTAACATAGAATATAACATGGTTTACAGAGGTATGCAGGTGAAAGATAGGAATGATGGGGTTATTTTACCCCAGGCCTTGGGTGTTTATCTCTGGAGGTTTGGGGAAGAGATCATTCTGACATTTTAAGTATGTTATCTTAGACGTGCAAAAACAATGGATAAGGTAAAAGACTAATTTATCATAAATAGGTGCTAGGACCTGACTTTCATTATAACATAATCAGTTAGGAGTTTTTATGATCAGAACATTCCATGTGGTTACCTTCACTTATTGAGTTTGTCAGGTCTGCCAGGTAGTCCCCCCCCTTTTTAAAAACTTTTATTTATTGATTTGTTGTTGTTTTCAGTGAGAGAGGAAGGGGTGGGGAGAGAGAGAGAGAAACATTGATTTGTTGTTCCACTTAATTTTTGCACTCATTGGTTGATTCTCACATGTGCCCTGACCTGGGATCCAACTCACAACCTTAGTGTATCAGGAAGATGCTCTAACCAACTGAGATACCTGGCCAGGGCCAGTCTTTAACCATTAAGTATGTTAGCCATAGATTTCTTTATTTTTTACTTTTGTAGATGCTCTTTCTTGAGAAAGTTTCCTTCTATTTCTATTTTCCCAGTGGTTTTTAGAAATCATGAACAGATGTTGAATTTTCTTGTGCACTTTTCCTGATATCAGCTGATATCTTGAGATTTTTCTTTAAAAAAACCAAAAATCTTTATTTTTGAGAGTATTATAGATGTCTCCCTTTTTATCTCCCCATTGCCCCCCTCCACCCAGTTTCCATCCAACCCCAAGCCTTCATCACCTTATTGTGTGTCCATAGGTAAAGTGTATATGCATATAAATTCTTTAGTCAGTCTCTTCCTGGCTCTACTACCCACTTCCCTCTGAGATTCGTCAGTCCGTTCCATGTTTCCATGCATCTGGTTTTATTTTCATTAGATTCCTTGTTCATTTATTTTGATTTTTAGATTCAACTGTTGATAGATATGCATTTATTGCGATTTTACTGATCATATTTTCTCCTCCTCCTCCTCCTCCTCCTTCTTCTCCTTCTTCTTCCTTCTTCTCTTTCCTTCCCTCCTTCCTTCCTTTCCTTCTTCTCCTCCTTCTCCTTCTCCTTCCCCTTCTCCTTCCCCTTCTCCTTCTCCTTCTCCTTCTCCTTCTTCTTTTTCTTCCTTCTTCTTTCTTCCTCCTTCTTCTTTCTTTCTTTCTTTCTTTCTTTCTTTCTTTCTTTCTTCTTCTTCCCTTCCTCCTCCTCTTCCTCCTCCTCCTCCTCCTCCTCCTCTTCTCCTCCTTCTTCTTCCTTCCTTCTTCCTCCTCTTCTTCCTCTTCCTTTTCTTCTCCTTCTTTCTTCTTTTTTCTTCTTTCTTCTTCTTCTTCCTTCTTCCTTCTTTTCCTTTCTTTTTTTCTTTCCTCCTCCTCCTCCTTCTTCTTTCTTCTTTCTTCTTCTTCTTCTTCTTCTTCTTCTTCTTCTTCTTCTTCTTCTTCCTCTTCTTCCTCTTCTTCCTCTTCTTCCTCTTCTTCCTCTTCCTCCTCTTCCTCCTCCTCCTCCTCCTCCTCTTCCTCCTCTTCCTCCTCTTCTTCTTCTTCTTCATTTCATATGATACTGATTTGATGGTGATGAACTTCTTTAGCTTTTCCTTATCTGGGAAGCTCTTTATCTGACTTTCAATTCTAAATGATAGCTTTGCTGGGTGGAGTAATATTGGTCCTTTCTTTTCATCACTTTGAATATTTCTTGTCACTCCCTTCTGGCCTGAAAAGTTTCTGTTGAGAAACCAGCTGACAGTCTTACAGGTGCTCCCTTGGTAGGTAACTAACTGCTTTTCTCTTGCTGCTTTTAAGATTCTCTCTTTGTCTTTCATGTTTTGCATTTTAATTGTGATGTGCCTTGATGTAGGCTTCTTTGGTTCATCTGTTTGGGACTCTGTGCTTCCTGGACTTATATGTCTATTTCTATCACCAGATAGGGGAATTTTTCTGTCATTATTTTTTCAAATAGGTTATCTTGATCCCTCTCTTCTCCTTCTGGTGCCCCCATGATGTGAATGTTGGTACCCTTGAAGTTGTCCCAGAGGCTCCTTACACTAAGTTCATATTTTTGGATTTTTCATTTTGCTGTTCTAATTGGGTGTTTTTTTGCTTCCTTATATTCCAAATTATTGATTTGACTCAGCATCCTCTACTCTACTGTTGAAGGCCTATAAATTATTCTTTATTTCAGTTAGTGTATGCTGCATTTCTCTCTGGTCCTTTTTTATGTTGTTGATCTCATTAAGTTCCTTAAAGTTCTCATTAAGTTCCTTGAGTATCATTATAACCATTGTTTTGAACTCTGTATCTATTAGTTTTTTGCTTCCATTTCCTTTAGTTCTTTTTCTGGAGATTTCTTTCATTTGTGACATATTTCTTTGTCTCTGCATTTTGGCTGCTTCCCTGTGTTTGTTTCTATGTATTAGGTAGATCTGCTATGTCTCCTAGACTTGGTAAGTATCTTCTAGGGCCCAGTGGCTCAGCCTCACCAGTTTCCTGAGCTAGGCACCCCAGCAGCACCCCTGTATGAACTATGTGCACTGTCATAAGATAGGTGAGCCTTGATTTGTATTGGTATCATTGGGAGGGATTGACCCCCATGCCAATTGGTTGTGGTAATCAGCTGGGACTATAGTTGAAGGGCTGCTGTGCAGGAGCCAACCCTATGGAACTGGACTTGGTTCAGTGGGGCTTTGGTGTTCACTGTGTCCACCCTTTCAGTGTCACTCATGAAAGTGGTAGGGTTGTAATCTCGTGTGGTCGAAGTTGATCACCAGTTGCACTGCCTCTGGGCCCTTCCAGGAGGTGCAAAGTCAGCCTCTGCCTGTGCCCTACCAGGGGCTACCCAGTATGAGCTACAAAGCAGTCTGTAGATGGCTGCTATTTATGTTGAGTTTAGAGGTGCCCAGGAGAGGCCAACCTGTGAACCAAGGCGGGCTGTGGCGAATGCAGGGCCTGGGACCCCTTACTGAGAAGTACGCTGATGTCAGCTGCTACTTGATGAGAGATTTTAGGAAAATCCAAAGAAGAGGCAGGAGAGGCCAGTTATATGGAAAAGCCACTGGAAATGGCTTGGATGAATCTGCAAGTAGGGAGGGTGTCTCGGGGATCACCAGGGTCGGTGAGAAGTGTAAGCCATGTTGAAGGAGATTCAGATATGGCCCAGCCTGTCAGCTCTATGATAGGGAGAGCTCAGCACAGAAACACTGGCCTCTGGCAGCACTTCTGTCTGGGAGAAAGCTACCCCTCCAGCTCTTGCCTTGATTCCAGACAAGTTAGTTCCTCCCCAAATGTCCCAGGTTCCTTTCAAACTGCAGCTCCAGCACTGGAGCTCAGAGGGAGTGAGTCCAAGTAAGTCTATGCGTGGGCCCTATAAGAGGAACTGCCTGGGACTCCCGCCGCCTTCATGTCACTCAACCACACTCCCTGCTCGTTTTTACAGCCAGAAGTTATGGGGACTTCTTTTCCCAGCTCTGGAACCCTAGGCTGGGGGCCTGATGTGGTCCAGCAACCCTGTATTCCTCAGGGAAACCTCCATGGCTAACATATCCCTCCTAATTTTAAACTGCCACACATGGGTGTGGGACCAGCAGGTCCACAATTCCGCCCCTCCTACCAGACTTGATGTGCTTCTTCTTTAATTCCCTAGCTGTAGGACTTTCATTCAGCTAGATTTCAGGTGGTTCTGAATGATGGTTGTTGTGTGTGTTAGTTGTAAATTTCAATGTGGTTGTAGGAGGCGGGGAGTACCACGTTTGCCTTTGCCACCATCTTTACTGGATGTCTCCATAGCCCCCTTTTGTTCATAATGGGATGCTCTATATTTTTCAGGATGTCAAAGATGATTATGTATTTGAATGTGAAGCTGGTAATCAGAAAACAAAGCTGACCATTTTGCAGTCACTTGGTGATCCACTTTACTATGGTAAAATTCAGCCATGTAAAGATGAAGAGATTGACAGCCAGATTTCTCCATCCCAGTGAGTTCTGTTAAATACATGTAATTAACAAAAGCAATCATCAGAATTCATTTAGCAACTACTGATAAACCATTAATGAATAAAACTCCCTTGGGGATTCATTTGTTACTTAAATACATTAATTAGATTTGGCTGCCTAAATTTATGAACTACATATATTTAGTACAAGGTACCAGTATTTAGTTTTGTTTTTATTAGTTTTCTGTTTTAATCAAGTTGATAATGTTTTGAAAATAAGAAATAACAAAAAGGAGAAAAAAGCAGGGACCAGATCTGTGTTGAATTGTTTATAAAGTCTTTATGTACACAAAATACTAATTGAAACTACAGCAGAAAGATGGATTTTAAAGAATAACCTCACAAATATCTAACTCAGCAGTTTTCAACCTGTGGGTCGCGACCCCCAAAGACCCTTTCACAGGGATTGCCAAAGACCATCGGAAAACACATATATAATTACATATTGTTTTTGTGATTAATCACTATGCTTTAATTATGTTCAATTTGTAACAATTGAAAATACATCCTGCATATCAGATATTTACATTACGATTCATAACAGTAGCAAAATTACAGTTATGAAGTAGCAACAAAAATAATTTTATGGTTGGGGTTCACCATAACATGAGGAACTGTATTAAAGGGTCACGGCATTAGGAAGTTTGAGAACCACTGCTCTAAGTAAAAGTCGATGGGAGGAAACAGTAGCGGTCAGGAGTTCTCTGCTAATTTTTTTACATTAGCAGTTTCTATTGTATACTAATTTAGAAGGATCCGATATTTTTATTACCTTTATTTGTATAAATCTTCCCCTTAAAGATATATAGTGGTCATTTTAAATCAATTCATAAACTTTTTTTTTTTTTTTGATTTTTTACAGAGAGGAAGGGAGAGGGATAGAGCACTAGAAACATCAATGAGAGAGAAACGTCGATCAGCCGCCTCCTGCACGCTCCCCACCGGGGATGTGCCCACAACCAAGGCACATGCCCTTGACCCGAATCGAACCCGGGAACCCTCAGTCCGAAGGCCGACGCTCTATCCACTTAGCCAAACCGGTCAGGGCAATTTATGAACTTTTTTTAAACACAAGGGAATAACATATATTCTTATTTTTTAAAATTAGTTAAGAAAGCTACCCAATTAGATTTGGCAAGAAGAAAATAAAATTTTTTTGCCTTTATATTAGGAAGTTGCTGCAAAAATGCTGTATGGTTTATTATCTTTCAGCCATTCTCCATATTCATAAATTATTTGATTTAATAACTATGAAGTTAAAGTTTGAGCTGCATTAACCAGGTTTTTTTTTTTGTTTTGTTTTGTTTTTTTACATTTTGTATTTCAGCTCCTCCACAGAAGATCATTCAAATTGGTAATTAAAAAAAATAAACTCACTATTAAAATCTGTTAAGAAAACACATAAATGTCAAACTCTTTAAAGACGTAGCGAAGACATTTTTTTCTGAGTTGCCAGTAAACTATCTTCCTTGTCTAAAATATATTGTGTTCCTGCTATGTAGACTGATGACTTCTGAAACCATTGGTTGCAATAATCAGCTGGGACTATAGCTGAAGAGCTGCTATAGGTTAAAGCTTGAAAAGAAGGCCTTGCACACAGTTCAGTGAATTTTGTTGTAGAACAGACACTTGTAGGGTTGTATAGCACTTGGTAACTTTCAGCCCAGATTATATTTTGATACTTAAGTTTTGTGGCAAAATAAATCCTCCTTAAATTAAACCAGCCAAATTATTCACAATATTATTTATTTTGCAATGCCAAATTTTGCTATATATTTATTTTAAATTTGTTTCATATCTTGGTGGATTTTAATTTATTAAGTTACTGTCAGTAAAATATGGAAGCCTTCAAAAGTAATCCCAGTGCTCCCTAAGAGAACTCTTATCTAATACTTTTCTTTCTTTAAATATTTTAGGTTCATTATAGGATCAAAGACTGATGCTGAACGGTAAAAATACTAGCTTCTTTATTTTTGATCTAGATAGATATGAAAATCTTCCCTCTTAGCGGATAAAGACTACTTCATTAGGAATCAGAAGTTTGATTTTAGTTATGCCATAGGTTTTAGTAGCATTTAAAAAAATAGAATTAGGTAAGTAACAACAAAAAGAATAATGTTTAAAATAGAGCTTTAGTTTAAATAAAAAAATGTAGACATATCTATGGTAGGTAAGGAAGATGCTTTCTATGTAGCACTTTAATCAGAATGTTAAGTGAAGGGGGTAATTTTTTGACTGCTTATTGATTAAAAAATAACCCATGTAATTTCTGTATTTGAAATAAGATACTGAAAATATATTTTAAGATTGCTAATTTAAGTGCAAAAGATTTTGAGCATTAGCTTGTCATTGAAAAGATTAAAAGAGTACTTTTAACAAAAAGGTAACTGTCAAATTTTAATTTTTGTGTTAACTTGATGCAACTTTTTAATTAACACTTCTTATTTTCTACATAATAAGTTTATGTTTAAAAGAGTTAAGTAATTCTTACCTGTTGTTTTTTTCTTTTTCTAATATTTTAGGGTAGTTAATCAGTACCAGGAATTGGTCCAGAATGAAGCCAAGTGTCCAGTCAAGATGTTGCACAGCTCCAGTGGCTCAGCCAGCATGAGTCAGCTTTCTCCAGGGAAAGAAACAGAAGTGTGTGTTTGTTTTCTTTTTTTTGTTTGTTTGTTTATTTTTTTTATTAATTAAATCTTTAGTATTGTTCAGATTATTACATTTGTTCTTCTTTTTTCACCCCATAACTCCCTTCCACCCAGTTCCCACCCCACCCTTCTCCCTCACACTCCACCCACTGTCCTCATCCATAGGTGCACGATTTTTGTCCAGTCTCTTCCCGCATCCCCCTCACCCCTTTCCCGCCACAAGAATAGTCAGTCCACTCCCTTTCTATGCCCCTGATTCTATTATAATCACCAGTTCATTCTGTTCATCAGATTATTCACTTGATTTTCAGATTCACTTGTTGATAGATGTGTATTTGTTGTTCATAATTTGTATCTTTACCTTTTTCTTCTTCCTCTTCTTAAAGGATACCTTTCAGCATTTCATATAATACTGGTTTGGTGGTGATGAACTCCTTTAGCTTTTTCTTATCTGTGAAGCTCTTTATCTGACCTTCAATTCTGAATGATAGCTTTGCTGGGTAAAGTAATCTTGCTTGTAGATTCTTGGCATTCATCACTTTGAATATTTCTTGCCACTCCCTTCTGGCCTGCAAAGTTTCTGTTGAGAAGTCAGCTGACAGTCGTATGAGTACTCCCTTGTAGGTAACTGACTGTCTTTCTCTTGCTGCTTTTAAGATTTTCTCTTTGTCTTTTGCTCTTGGCATTTTAATTATGATGTGCCTTGGTGTGGTCCTCTTTGGATTCCTTTTGTTTGGGGTTCTCTGCACTTCCTGGACTTGTAAGTCTATTTCTTTCACCAGGTAGGGGAAGTTTTCTGTCATTATTTCTTCAAATAGGTTTTCAATATCTTGCTCTCTCTCTTCTTCTGGCACCCCTGTATTTTGGATGTTGGTACACTTGAAGCTGTCCCAGAGGCTCCTTACACTATCTTCGTATTTTTGGATTCTTTTTTCATTTTGCTTTTCTGGTTGGGTGTTTTTTGCTTCTTCGTATTTCAAATCGTTGACTTGATTCTTGCCATCCTCTAGTCTGCTGTTGGGAGTCTGTATAATATTCTTTCAGTCAGTGTATGCTTAATTTCTAGTTGGTCATTTATCACAACCTCGAGGGTCTCATTAGATTTCTTGTAGATCTCATTAAGTTTATCGGCAGTTTCTAGAAAATTCTTGATAAACCATATAACCGTGGTTTTGAACTCTATATCCAGCAGTTTGCTTTCCTCCATTTCTGTCATTTGTGTCCTTTTTCTTTGTCTCCGCATTTTTTCATGCTTCCCTGTGTTGATAAAGTGGTTTTCTGTGCTAAGTGTCCTCTAGGGCCCAGTGGTTCAGCCTCCCCAGTGACCTGAGGAGGACAGTCTTGGTGCACCCCCTTGTGGTCTTTGTGCACAGTCTTGTTGTAGTTAAGCCTTGATTCTTGTAGGTATCACTGGGAGGAATTGACCTCTAGGCCAATTGGCTGTGAGAATCAGCTGTGTCTGGAGACTTCTGTGCTGGAGACACCCCTCCGGGGCAAGGCTTGCTTCAATGGGGCTTTGGTGCTCACTGAGTCGCCCCCTGAATGTGTCCTTTATGGTTCCATGGACCTGCAAACTGGATCCTCCCACTCTGACCTCTGGGTACACTGGCTCCTGGATCTTTAGGGAGGTGCTAATCTAGCTTCTGCCTGAGGCTATCCAGCAAAAGCCTCCCTGCAGGGCTTGGGCGGGGCAGGTCCCACGGGATCAACAGGACGGGGCTAGCAGTTATGGCTGCTCTCAGAGGCCCAGCTTCTCAGTGTCTCGGCAATCGCTGCAAGACCCTCCGAGAGAAAGCTGCCCCCGAGTTCCGACCGATGCCAGACAGTCCCGCTTCTCCCGTATGAGTCTGGGTCCCCAGAGACTCTCCCAGAACTGGAGCTCGGAGCCTGAGACTCCCTCCCGATTGAAAACGACAACCGTGCCCTCAGCCGCCAGCTCGCTCCCTGTGCTCCTCTGTACCTTAGTATTTTACTTCCGCACTGCGCCTCCTCTGAGTCTTGGTATGCTTTTCTCTTTCCTTCTAGTTGTAGAATTTCCACTCAGCCAGCCTTCCTGTGGTTCTGGATGATGTCCGTTCCATCTTTTAGTTGTATTTTTGAAGTGGCTGTGTGAGGCAGCAAAGTCCGGTGTTTACCTATGCCGCCATCTTGGTTTTTCCTGTTTTCTTTTTTATGCCAAATATTGTTTATGTTGTTTGTTATTTGTGCCTAATTATTTCTCAGGTAATCTGTGATATGTTTTTTTTTTTTTCTTAAATCTTTATTGTTCAGATTATTACATTTGTTCCTATTTTTTCCCACCATAACTCCCCTCCTCCCAGTTCCCGCCCCACCATCCGCCCTCACTCCCCACCCACTGTCCTCATCCATAGGTGCACGATTTTTGTCCAGTCTCTTCCCGCATCTCCCACACCCCGTTCCCCCCCAAGAATAGTCAGTCCATTCCCTTTCTATGTCCCTGATTCTATTATGATCACCAGATTATTTATTCACTTGATTCTTAGATTCACTTGTTGATAGATGCATGTTTGTTGTTCATAATTTGTATCTTTACCTTTTCCTTCTTCTTCCTCTTCTTAAAGGATACCTTTCAGCATTTCATATAATACTGGTTTGGTGGTGATGAACTCCTTTAGCTTTTCCTTATCTGTGAAGCTCTTTATCTGACCTTCAGTTCTGAATGATAGCTTTGCTGGATAAAGTAATCTTGGTTGTAGGTTCTTGCTATTCATCACTTTGAATATTTCTTGCCATCAAAGTTTCTGGCCTGCAAAGTTTCTGTTGAGAAATCAGCTGACAGTCGTATGGGTACTCCCTTGTAGGTAACTGAGTTTCTTTCTCTTGCTGCTCTTAAGAGTCTCTCTTTGTCTTTTGCTCTTGGCATTTTAATTATGATGTGTCTTGGTGTGGTCCTCTTTGGATTCCTTTTGTTTGGGGTTCTCCGTGCTTCCTGGACTTGTAAGTCTATTTCTTTCACCAGGTTAGGGGAAGTTTTCTGTCATTATTTCTTCAAATAGGTTTTCAATATCTTGCTCTCTCTCATCTTCTGGCACCCCTATAATTCTGATGTTGGTACACTTGAAGCTGTCCCAGAGGCTCCTTACACTATCTTCGTGTTTTCGGATTCTTTTTTCATTTTGCTTTTCCGGTTGGGTGTTTTTAGCTTCTTCGCATTTCAAATCTTTGCCTTGATTCTTGTGGTCCTCTGGTCTGCTGTTGGGAGTCTGTATAATATTCGTTATTTCAGTCCGTGTATGTTTAATTTCTAGTTGGTTCTTTATCATAACATTGAGGGTCTCATTAGATTTCTTGTAGATCTCATTAAGTTTATCAGCGGCTTCTAGACAGTTCTTGAGAGACCTTAAAAGTGTGGTTCTGAACTGAATATCCTCCATTGACAGTTTTGTCGTGTTTCTTTGTCTCCGCATTTTTTATGCTTTCTTGGTGCACCCCCTAGTGGTCTTTGTGCGCAGTCTTGTTGTAGTTAAGCCTTGATTGTTGTAGTTAATACTGGGGGGATTTGACCTCTAGGCCAGCTGGCTGTCTGATATATTATTTTTTGAGGGATGTAGCAATTGTTTTTGTTTTTACTTTTAACTTTATATTTAACTTCTTATAATGGAAATTTTCAAATATACACGAAGGTAGAGCAAAAGGTGTAATGAATCACCTGGCTTCAATAGTTACTACTTTTCTGGAAAAGATTTAAGGATTAAGCTTTGTTTCCATCTTACTCCTCTGCCCCTTTCTCACAAACTCTTTCTCCCCATTCTCTTACTTGGAAATTTTTCCTTCATTGTTTCTGCATAAGATGTCCTTATTTGAAATTTATTCTTTTGTAACATCTGTAATATTCAATCTCTATAACCACTGAAAGTACTTTGCAGTTTTAAAATGTTTTTTTTCTGCCCAGCTCAATGGATAGAGCATCAGCCTGCAGACTGAAGGATCCTTGGTTCTATTCCAGTCAAGGGCACATGCCTGGGTTGCGGGCTCTATCCCCAGAAGGGGGCGTGCAGGGGGCAGCCAGTCAATGATTCTTTCTTATCATTGATGTTTTATCTCTCTCTTCCTCTTCCTTCCTCTGAAATAAAAATATTTTTAAAAAATAAAATGTTTTTTCTTCTGGGAATTATAGTGGTATTAATTTATGAGATACTGATTTGACCTTAATTGTAACAAGTATACTTAATGTCATTGTTTTTTACAGCCTGAGACTGTTTCAGTTCAGTCTTCAGTACTAGGGAAAGGAATAAAACATCGACCTCCACCCATCAAACTTCCCTCAAGCTCAGGAAATAGTTCCACAGGTATTACATTCCTTACTTTTCTGTAATCTAGTATAAGAAATAGCATATGGTCATAACTTGTTTTTAAAATTTTACTCATATTTTGATTTTCATAAAATTTTGAATTATAAGAAACAATTTTATATTCTAGGTAACTATTTTACGCCACAACAGGCCAGCAGCTTTCTTAAATCTCCAACTCCTCCTCCAGCTTCTAAGCCACCAAGTCTTTCTCGAAAGTCATCTGTGGATCTCAGTCAAGTTAGCATGCTTTCTCCAGCTGCCCTGTCACCTGCCAGTTCATCACAAAGTGAGTCCTGATTTAAATTCTCACATTAACTTTTCATAAGCTTTAGCAGTAGTGTTTCTTAGATAGCTTTTTTGACCAGTGAAATAGTGAAATCTGGATGAACTGTGTACCCAAAATGTATAAGTTTTGATAATCTTGAGGCAAATCTCTTGTTGATTGTATGTATTATGTGTTTAATATAATTCTATTTGTTTTTCTATATTTATGTATGCACCTTGTGTAAACCTTTCTTATAGACTTACAGCCTATACATCTCCTTTTAAAAAATCTGGTAGTTAGATATGGCAATAAGATTCCAAAATATTTTTTATTTCATTTTATCCTAGGGTCACTTTACATTTTATGTAAACTATGGGGCTAATATGAAAAAAATGTCATAAGAGTTCTTGTTGCAGTCCTGTCTTTGTATATGTAAGAAACCAACTATTTCCAAGGTGGTGATACAATAAACCGAAAGCCAATTTTTCTGAAACACTCTACACTCTTATAAATTGTCAGCTAGTAAAACGTGATGATTATAAAGCATTATTCTGAAGATAACTAAAATGTAATTTTTAGTACTGAATACTTTTTTTATCATTAAGAAGAGTTTTATAAGAATTCTTTTGGGAGAATTTCTTCAAATTAATAAATATCTGAGATATTTCAATCCCAATTTGCAAGAAAGCATTCCAGTTTTTTAAATTTTTTTTTATAGGTAACTAAAGTGTGCTGAAAGTTTTAGTACACTGCACAGTGATAGGGTGGTCTTCTCATTAGATATAAACATCTTCATCTTGATAGCTCAAAAGGTGTAATTTTTCTGCCTTCTTGTTTTGCACAAAGAAAAATATATCAATTTCCTGAAAGTCTTATTCACACTTCTTATGTTGTGGGTATGAATTATGCTAATCTGCACACAGTTGTTACTTTAAGTAAGGGTTGAGTGACAGCTTCTGGACATTCACATTTCTTTCCTTTCTTTCTGCAGGACATGAAAGCTAAAAAAGAAAACACCTCAAGAGCTTTTGGTTTTACTTTTTTGGTTTTTGGTTTTTGTTTTTTCTTAAAAAGTTGATAAACTGTGCATACTTCATTCACAACAGATTTTCTATACATTCTACAATTAAATAGAGTACACAGTTACTGTTAAAGATGCAGTATTATCTATCAAATATTTGCTTTATTGCTGTGTTTTGTAATTTGCTTGTCAGGATAAACGTGATGTGTTAGGACCTAAACATGTATATTTAGGTGCCAAATATGACTGTTAACCATATGTAATTTATTAAATATGTTCAGTGTTTATCTCAGACTGTTACAGAAAATAAGCAATATTTTTAAATGAAGTCCTAAATTAGTGAAATTGTGAATAACAAAAAATTAATTTGAATTCCTTTTAAATTTTTTAGACCAGAGGTAGCATATAGGAAAATAACTTAAATGGGTAATGTGGTAGAATACAAATGTATATTTTTACTATTACTATAATAACATCTGATGGGAGTTTTAGGTGATATACTGCATCCTTAATTGTAATGAGTGTAGTAACACTCATGTATCATGTGTAGAAATTAACACTTGCAGTTAACTGCTTTAAAAAAAAAAACTGAAACAAATTGTCAGTGCTAAGTAAAATTCCATTAACCTTATTTTTAAAAAGACTGGCCATTTATAACAACCTAGCAATTTTTATTTTTCTCAATGAGCAGGATCTGGAACTCCTAAGCCATCTACTCCTACACCAACCCTTTCATCGACCCCATACCCTCCTGATGCTCAGAGCTCAACTCCTATTACCCCTTCAACTACCCCTACTCCCCAAGATTCAGGCTTCACCCCTCAGCCCACTTTGTTAACTCAGTTTGCTCAGCAGCAAAGGTCTCTGAGCCAGGCAATGCCTGTAACGACCATTCCTCTTTCCACCATGGTAACATCTATAACCCCAGGAACCACAGCCACCCAGGTCATGGCAAACTCTGCTGGACTTAACTTCATCAATGTAGTGGGCTCTGTTTGGTAAGTCTTCATTGATGCCCTGATTTTTTCAAAAGATATTCTCACCAATCTGAATGAATTCTCATTGTGAAATTAAGAATAAAATCATGTTACTGAAACTAAAGAAAATACTTTAAATATGGATAGAAGCTATCTCAACCAAGTATGTTTTAATTTTAGGTAATACATCTGTTTATATGCACTGATACAATACTATTACATATTGACAGTAGCTTAGATTTTTCTGTTCGTCTTCTGTTACTATCTTTTAATACTTTACTCTTTGAAATTATATTATAACCTTGATTAATATGCAGTATGTGTACTTAATTTTAGCTAACCTTGCTGTAACTTTCTAGCATAAAAAGGAAACAGCCTTGAAATTAATATTTAGGATAGAATTATCTAATTGGTTTAATAGTGGTGGTGTTTTTTCTTTTTTTAATGTAAGGAATTAAGTCTGATTTTTTTTATATATATATTGTAAGTTTAATGCTTTGTCTATTCTCCTGTAGTGGAGCTCAGGCTTTGATGAATGGTTCAAATTCTATGCTGGGCTGTAACACTGGTGCCATAACTCCTGCTGGAATAAACCTGAGTGGCCTTCTCCCCTCAGGAGGTCTGCTACCAAATGCATTACCTGGTACAATGCAGGCAGCTTCTCAAGCAGGTCAGAATATTGAATATAATAATCTCTTTAAAAAATTAAAATACATGCTGATGTAAAAATGTCATTTTAATGCTGTTATTAAAAATATTAAACATAGTATCATGTCAAAAAGGCTCTTTTTAAAGGAAAGGCTAATGTTGAAAGCCTTTAAAGTTCTGATATTTAAATTAAAAATCATCTAGCAATCAACTTCTGGAAAGAAACTTGATAAGCCTATAAATCTTTGCAAATTATATCTTTGCCTTCTACACATTATAATAAAGTTAACATTGATAGTCTTATTATTATCAGTGTAGTCTTACTCCAGGTAAAAGGAATGTATCTTGAAAACATACATTGTGCAAAAAAGGTGACATAGCGTGACTATTAAAATCCCAGGTTCTAGAGGCAGACGGCCTGAGTTTGAATCCCAGTTGTGTAACTTAACTTTTTGTGTAATCATGGGAAAGTTACCTTTGTGCTTCACTTTTCTCATAAATAAAATAGGGATAATAATAATACCTTATTGCCTCTTAATTATGAGCATTAAATGAGTATATACAGATGAAGTGCTTAAATTATACCTTAGACCTAAGCATTAAAAAATATTCGCTACCATCAATAGTAGTTTTATTGTAGTAGTAACTGTTAATTCATATACTGGAAAACAGCTATAACAGCTTGTGCTATTTTTTAATGCTCCTTAAGAGAATGTAATGTAATATCTTGGCACAATCCAGTTTTCTGCTAAGAAAAAATTTAATAGGAAAAACAAACTTGACATAGTAAGAAAATTAATCAAAAACTTTATATGATTTAAGATAATAATTTTCAACCTTTTTCACTTCATGGCACACATAAACTAATTACTAAAATTCTGTGGCAGGCACACCAAAAAATATATTTTTGCCAATCTGACAAAAAATAGGTATAATTTTGATTGATTTACAAAAAGAAATAATGATAGTAATTACCTACCCTTTTTGCTACAAAGTATCTAGCCCTGGCTGGGTTGCTCAGTTGCGTCACCCCATACATCAAAAAGTTGGGAGCTTATGGGGGAAAAAAAAGGAGAAATATGTACTACTATTTGTAATACTTTAAACAATAAAATAAAATTAAAAAAAAAAAGTTGGGGGTTTGATTCCTGGTCAGGGCACACACAATCCCCAGTTGGGGAACGTACAGGAGTTAACCAATTGATGTTTTGCGCTCTCTCTAAAAAATAAAAACATATTCTTGGGTGAGGATTAAAAAAAAAAAATCAGGTGCCTATACTTGTATATAAGGATTTCTGGTACCAAGAATTGACCAATCAGATGCAACCTTATGATACAACTCTATAATATGACATATATTTATGGTTCAAGACAGAGCATTCACACCAGATGGCTTTTGTTGTGTAGGCTGTTGTCATTTGTTTTATTGAACAATCTAGCGAAAAGAGGTCCGTACCCCTTGCATGTCTTAAATATTCTTGCAGCATATCAATTGAAAATCACTGACTTAAGAGAGCCCAAAGAATATCATACAAGCATGTTAACATATTTCTGTAATTTCCTAATTTTGGCTGATGTTATTTTAATGTACTATAGTGGTGGAAGCACTGGAAATGGAATCAGATATTGAATTTAGAATGTTCATGTTTACATGGCTTCAGATGCTAAAACTGTGGGTCCTGAAAGAAGTCAGTTTTTCTTCCTTAGATTCCATTTCATTTGATGTAAACTATGGGTAAATTTCTCTAACTACAATAGGTATTTCAGATTAATAAATGAAGTGCCTTTGATAAGCAATAAGCATTATATAGTTGTTATTTACCTTTAAAGGGAGTTTTGTCAATTCTTTTCATGAGAATTCCCAAAAGGAAAATCAATAGTGTCATATTTTCATCTGATTATGCTTTTTTTAAGTTTCTTATACAAAAATTTCCTGCCTCTTACCTTTTTATTATTTACTTATTTATCTGTTTATTTATTTACTTATTTAATCTGAGACTGTTTTTTATTGATTTTTAGAGAGAGAGAGGAATGGAAAGAGAAACATCTATGTGAGAGAGAAACATTGATCAGTTTCCTCCCTTATGTGCCCAGACCAGGAATCAAACCTGCAATGCTCCAACCAACTGAACTACCTTGCCAGGGCCTGCCTCTTACCTTTTAAAATAAAATTTGCTTAGCAGACTAGATACATTTTTAATTAGTGTTCAAATTGGTATATATCGTTTGTGAGAAAAATATACATGTACTTTGAGACCAGGGTCAGCAAATAAAAAATCTTACAGTCTAAAGTAGATTTTACATTTTTAAGGATGTGTTTAAAATGTAAAGAAAAATGAAGAGGAAGAATATCCAACAAAACTTAGTCAGTTGGCCTACTGAAAAAGTTTGCCAACCCCGATTTATGATGTGCTCTATGTTGTCACAAAATCAACAGTATTATTTCCTATTAGTTTGACCCTACAAACAAAAATCATTGTACTTTAGTATTATTCATATTAGCATTTGTACTTTAAAATAATTGCATGGAGCACACTGGTTCTCAGAGATATGGTTGTTATGATTATTGTGTACTATATAGTGTATAGCACTTAGGAATGTCAATAGAAGCCAACACCTGAAATGTGTTTGCCATAACTGTGCTAGTTTAATTATATTTATGGCTTCTGCCTATGTCTAGATAACTTTTTCCAGCTAACAGTCAAAATAGTGATAAAGAAGTCTCAGTTTCTCAAATATAGAATAAAATGTACATGTATTGCTCACATCTTTGATCTCAGTATTTGATGGGTATTGTTTTTAAGATCATTTTAAAAGTATAGAAAATAAAGCAAATCTATGCAGAAAGTACTTAAAATGCTATATTAGTATAAAGTGTTTTCATGTTTAATAGTTTTAATTCCCTGTTATAACCAGGAGTTGTATTTAATAGGTGTTCCATTTGGTTTAAAAACTACTTCGAGTCTCAGGCCCTTGAATCTACTTCAGGTAAACCTGAAACACTGCTCTTGATTAAAGTTTTCATACTTTGATTTTTTTGTAACAGTGCATACCTATATATGTCAGCATTTGAAATTTTGAGATGGTTCAGAATCTTCTGAGGATATGATTATAATTGCTACTTTTGTATGGTTGAGAGGGTAGGAAGAAAGAATGGGTATCCTACATATTACACTTTCATTGACCTCTGTCAAATCAAGAACTCAATGTTTTGATGCAGAGAATTGACAACTACAAAGTGAACAGTTGCCTACAATAGCAGTAGTACCTATACTTAAAAAATAATTCCTCTCTCAATAAATATTTTGTGTCTACATATATGTAGTACTTTTTGCTTACAAAAGATTTTGTACTTGAATAGAGGATTTAAAAATAGCTTTGTTCTTTTCCTGAGGAGAATGATTTCTTAACACAGTGCCAGGCACCTAAGAATCATTTGGTAAATATTCGTTAGAGTACAGTTTGTATCTAATGATGAGGCTTTTCTTATAAATGATATCAATGCCAACATAGACAGCATATAAAGAGAGATCAAAAGTGGAGATTTCATACATGTTGAGTGTGAACTTAAAATATTTAGGGTGTTAAGCTCTAGGTCCTTTGTAAGGTTTGGACTCCATTATTATCCCAGGTTGGAAATTTATAGGATTATCTACAGAGAATTTAGAAAAGGTAGACAAGAATATAAAGATTTAGAGTCACAAAATTGGGAAATAACAATAAAAGACAAATCAACTCAATCTGGTATCCTATATAATAAAAGCGTAATATGCAAATTGAACAGCAAAATGCTTGGTCGATATGACACCCGGTTGCTATGACGCGTACTGACCACCAGGGAGCAGACTCTCAATGCAGGAGCTGCCCCCAGCCCACAGGCCCCAATGCGGCCAAGGCGGGTGCCAGTGGGGGGCCCTCAATCACCCCACTGGTCGCCCCACAAATCAGCTCTGAACGCCAGCCAGGCCTAGGGACCCTACCCTGCACGAATTTTGTGCACCAGGCCTCTAGTTCAGAAATAAATCAGGAAATGTGTTTAGATCCAAAACTTAAAACTTCTTGTCCAAGATTCAAACACAGTGTTACTATATACAGACTATAATAACAGAATAATTTACTTGCAATATGGACAAATCACAAATCACATTGGTTTATTCAACTTTCCTACATATTGCTGTTGGAATTTCTGTCAGGGATTAGTCTTAGTGAAAAGAGGAATGGAATTCCTTAATAGAACTGATAATAAAGAATAATGACAAAGCCACCATAAAAATTAATTTTGCTACATTTATTATCTAACTGATTGAGGAAGGAACATCTGACCTGTGCTGTGCCCAAATTTACTTAACAATAAGCTGTGCTGGGTGTAGAGATTTTGACCCAAGGACACCATTTTTATTTTTTTACTTTTTAACTCTACAGATCTCAGAATTCTGTATTTGGTATTTATTTGGACTGTTCTTAAGGACTTCAAAGTGCTTATAATTTAAACCCCTATAGAATAAAAAAGAAAAACCATTTGTTTCCTGATTCACTTGAGATTTCTAGTTTTAATTTTTAACATGAATTTTTCTGAATACTTCTTTTTAAAACCTTTTCTTAATTTAACTTAATTTAGATTCTGAATGACAAAGCTGGTAATGTCTCCAAACTAAATATGGACATCTAATGCACTTTCTTTTCAGCTTTGGAATTTCTCACTATATTATATAAGCATCCATGAAGTCCTGGGATTTGGCAAAGCTAGAACAAATTTTGAGAGATGAGTTTTCATAAGTATGTCTCTGATTTTCACTGGCTTCTTGTTTACTTTCTAATGTACTTAATGCTGTTTTGTATTGAGGTATAAAAAAGTTAAAAGCCATGTGCATATTTGTATATGTCACTAAATTGAAGCAGAATGATTTGATAGTGTTAACATATTTGAGAGCCCTTAGTAATAACACTTAAAAATTGTTTTCAAACCTTTCTTTTAAAGGGCAGAGATGTTTACTTTTATTTTTGCTTACCTCTGTTTCCTCAATATCTAGAAGAGTACTTGACACATAGTGAATGTTCCAAAAATACTTGCGGAATAAAGAAATTTAAACAATGTGAAATTGATTAATTCATGTTTAAATTCTTAATAGCTTCCAGGTGGTTCACTAATTTTCAACACTCTGCAGCAGCAGCAGCAGCAGCTCTCTCAATTTACACCCCAACAACCTCAGGAACCCACAACTTCCAGTCCTCAACAGCCAGTGGAGCAGGTATGTGCTTTACTAGCTTTCCATGTTTTGTATTATGGAATTGTAACTTTATTTCGTACTACAGGCCCGGTGCACAAATTTGTGCACAGGTGGGGTCCCTTGGCCTGGCCGGCGATTGGGCTGATGGTGGGGGCTGGCTGGCCCGGAGGGAGGGACCGCGGGAGGTTGGCCTGCAATGGGAGGTTAGCTGTGGGAGTGCACTGACCACCAGGGGGCAGCTCCTCCATTGACCGTCTGCCCCCTGGTGGTCAGTGCACATCATAGTGAGTGGTTATATTATGCTTTGATTGGTTGAACCCACAACTGGATGACTGGACACTTAGCATATTAGGCTTTTATTATATAGGATTTGTTCTTGCTAATTCTTCTGAAGTCTTTTCCTTATGTTACTGTTTTTATGAGTCTAAAACTGATATTTTTTTTGTCCTGTAAGGAAAATATTAATTTCTTCTTACCAACACAAATGGTTTTTCTTTTTATACAACTCATGTATGATTTTTATTTAGGGTTCTGAACAAGGCTCAACCAGTCAAGAAAAGGCCTTATCTGCTCAGCATGCTGCTGTTATTAATCTTGCTGGAGTAGGAAGTTTTATGCAGTCACAGGCAGCTGGTTGGTATCTTCATGACTTCATATATTGAGTTTACTATTTAATCTAGTTGGGATCTCACCTTTTAAAATTATTTTTCCTTCTCTTGCAAGCATTAAGTAGGAAAAAGTATAGGTATATTTACTTGCGAACTATTAAATCAATTTATTGATAGCCCTCAGTTTTTTCCCATTGACAGTTGATTAATTTAAAGTGATTCTACACTACATATATTAACAGTTGTGTTTTCCTTGTGTTAGTTTGTTGGCAAAATTTTATACAATTATCAACTTACTAAGAAGCTACCAAAGTTGTTAACTCCTTAGTTTTTTATGGGCATTTATATATTGCATAATATTTTTTTCTCATTCTGGTATCTTGTACTTGCATGAATTAAGATATAATGTCAGTAAATGTAACTTCTATAAGCCACTTTTTGTCATTTGTAAGAAAGTGAGATTATACTAAATGACTGCTTACCACTTCCAACAGTAAAATGGTGAACCAGTTATAGTGAACCATAGTCTTTAGTGAAGATTATCTTGTCAATTGAAAATAGTAATTACAGAGTTTGAGGATTAAATAAGTGAGATCATGTCAACATTTTGAATTATCATTGGTGCCTTTATAATCATATACAGGTAACTCCCAGTGTCTGAATTTAGAATAAGCAAGGTCTTACATGTAGAGATTTAGAGCTAGAGAATTTTTGAAAGTTATTTTTATAATCCTTTACCCCCCAAGATATATATTTTCTAAAGTTCTTATATAATTTAGTGGAAAGAACTCTAGACTGAAAAATCCTAAAAATGCTCCATGCTCCAGACCTGCCACTAATTGCCTGAGTCATTCAAGTCATCTACACCTGAAATTTCTTCCTTTTTACAATGAGAGGGTTGAACTAATTATTGTGGTCCCACTCAGCTCAAAAAGTAATAATGCACAGGCTCAGTTCACCATCTCTGTTGCTACTAATATAGGCTGATACTCATTGCAGTATCTTTTAATAGCACTTGTTTACCAGTTATGTCATTATGGTAGCTTGGATTTCTCCCCCCTTTCCTACTTTATTAATTATATTTTAAAATAAGTCATGTATTTTACATTTTACAAGAAAGCCTTCTAAACAAAAAGCACTATTACCAAATTTCAGTGAGATGCATGAAGGGATACAGTGCTTAGCACATTTGCACTTCCTTCCCCTTGTATGTCCAGGAAGTGCCCTCAACTAACAGGAGACTAAATTTATTCTGAAATGTCTGTGATTTGATACTTAAGATTAATCATACTGATAACTCTTCTATTTCATTTTCTGTGTTGTCCTTTTCTAATCCTGGTAGCCTTCAAACTTTTGACTGGCCTGCTTTCCCCTTCTCCTCTCTGTAGTGTTGTCTCAGCTTGGCTCTGCCGAGAACAGACCTGAGCAAAGCCTTCCTCAGCAGAGATTCCAGCTCTCCTCTGCCTTTCAACAGCAGCAGCAACAGATACAAGTAATCCAGCAACTTCACTCTGATTACATTTTAAAGATACTCTGCTCCAAAAGTACCTCAAAAAACCTTAGTTTTATTTTATTGTCTTTTAAGACTATATAGTAATAGATAGTTTAGCAAATTTTATTTAAGTGTGACATTTTAGCCAGTCAGATTGGAGCACTGAATATATTTTGTACATTTAAGCCATACTTAATTTAATATCTTTCCTGAAGTGCTGGTGGCACATTAACATCCCATTTTTGTAGTTTGCATTATATTTTGAAATAGAGAGTTGTCAATGCCAATGGTTAATTTGTACTGCAGAAAAAGACAAGAATGCCAGTGTTCCTATTAGTAAATGTCATACCTGTTTTAGAAAAATGTCATTCCATTATCTCAGGAAGTCAGCATATTGTAGTTGACTATCTTTTATATGCAGGGTGGTTTATATTGCTATAAACTATCGTACAACAAAATGGTAACTGAAGTTGCTGAGTTACTACAATATAGACTGGCAGGGCAAAGTAACATGTATTTTTGAAGTGTACCAAGAACCATTTTAAAAGCCCTCAGCAGGCTTCTGTGCCACTGGTGCTGTTTGATTGTGCATTGTCTGAATGTGGTATAGTCCCCTTTTGTTATCTTAGTGCTTTCTCCCTTTCACTTTTGTTTTCATCTCTCTCAGGAAAAGTACCTTTTTATACCTGCTTACATTTAAAGTACCTTGATTTCCCTCTCCTCCCCCCTTTTGCAGCAGTTGCGATTCTTACAGCATCAAATGGCTATGGCAGCAGCAACAGCACAAACAGCTCAGCTACATCGTCAACGGCATACAGGCAGCCAGTCAAAAAGTAAAATGAAGAGAGGCACACCAACCACTCCAAAATTCTGAGTCTTGCATTATTTTTTTTCTTTTTTAAAAACAAAAGGATTGAGTTTCTACTTCATTTCTGTTTTTTAAAACATAATCAGTATTTTACATTGTTTGATGTACAAACTTTATACAGAAGCACAACCCTATGATTTTTAAATAAAAACAGGGAAATGCTTTAACAAACCATTAGGGTTCATTTGCTTAAGACACTGCTTTTTCAAAATTGTTCCTACACATAAAACATGTTGAAGTGGCCTAAGAAATACTAGAAATGTCCTTCAGAAAAATGTAGTTTGATATTTATTTAGTATGAAAGATTTGTGCACAGTGTAATAAATACAGTTTTTACAAATATGTTTTGAAAACGTAGTTATTTGGCTTTCATACTCTTAATTACTTCATCCATCAGTTTTTTTATTTCTTTGTGCCTTGTAACTGCTCGGCTCAGACAGTCCTGAAGTTTAGCTCCAGTCAGCCCACTTCCACCTGAAAAATTATTGTACCAACACTGTTAATATATGCTATTGTACTTTTAATGATCAACATGTCAAGTTATAGACCTAAACGTTCAGTAATGTAAACCAGGGGGTATGGTTAAGATTGCCAAGTTATGTTTTAAGACCTCCAAGTGATTCCAATGCATGCCATAAGAACCACTGGTAAACAACATAAAAACATAAGGAATTTGAGGTAACAAACTGTCATTTTATACTTGCTGCATTAGGTACATGGTAAAATATCCCATGTTCCATTTGTCCCACTCCTATGTAAAGAAGCTCACATAGAGTTTTCATCCAAATATTTAGGACTGAAATAGAAGGAACATGCCTGGTTTGTGAAGACAACATAGCTTGCCTTCCTCGTCCATTACTACTGTTAGGGTTCCAGTTGCCAGATGTTCCTCCTCTCCAGTAGGGTCCACTATGAGCAGAGTGCTATTTAAAAATTTTTTTGAAGTGTAAATTATCAATCCATGAAACATTTTATTTTAGAAGAATACTTAAAACAGTTTTTATACATTTAACTTACTCATCAAACACCGCAAAGGAGGTAGCAACTGGATGAGTTCTAATGTTCAAATAACGTTTCTTCTTTAAATTAACTTCTGCTAAAGCAGTTTCTTCATTTATAGTAACTTCAGGCAACTGTACTAGAAAGGCAAATATGTTAGTATCTCTAATGTAAGTAACAAACATGGCTTTTACTAAGTTCACTTTTCCAGAAGTAATCTTTTAGAAAGAAAATACCTTAGAACATTAAGATAAATACAGTGTATATAAACATTTTTGTTAATTTAGAAAGACTAAAATGAATGGTGGCTAAATCATAACAAAAGCCTAAAAAGTTTGAGAAAGTTTAACAAAACAGAATATTCTGACACAAGAGGAGGAATATTGCCTTTTATTAAGATTGCTTACCATTTTTTAAAGCTGCCAACAAAGCACATGTACAGGCATCCAAAATATTTCCATCATAGTCAAGGCAAATGAGATCACAGTATAGAACCCAAGCAAGCTAAAATAGAGTTTACACAAAGCAAATTAAAGTCTTCTGATGGGTAGAACATGGGATTTGCTTCAACTTATACACCACAGAACCCTTAAACAAGATAACCTTCAAGGCTCAAAACCTTACAAAGAAAAGAAAAACCTTTACCTTTAAGAAATAAACCAAAAAAAGTGGTTATGGTTGATGAAAGCTGCCTTCTGACTACCAAGCTGACAAGTGACAAACATTTCCATTCTTGTTGCTAAGTCAGATGAGGGAAATACTTTAGAAAGTCCCAAACGAAAATCAAAATATACTTTCCCAAAGAAACCTTAATACATCAAATGCTTAGTAGGGCCTGGCTGGTGTTCCTCAGTGGCTAAGCGTCAACCTACAAACCAGGTCAGTTAGATCCTGGTCATGGCACATGCTGGGATTGCAGTCTCAAACCCCAGTAGGGGGAATGCGGGAGGCAGCCGATTAATGATTCTTGTCATTGATATTTCTATCTCTCCTCCCTTTCTCTCGGGGTGGGGGAGGAAAAAAGGTGGATTCCCTTTAAAAAAAAAAAATGCTTAGTAGGTTTTACAACAGCGGTTCTCAACCTGTGGGTCGCGACCCCTTTGGGGTTGAACGAAACTTTTCACAGGGGTCGCCTAAGACCATCGGAAAACACATATATAATTACATACTATTTTTGTGATTAATCACTATGCTTTAATTATGTTCAATCTGTAACAATGAAAATACATCCTGCATATCAGATATTTACATTACGATTCATAACAGTAGCAAAATTACAGTTATGAAGTAGCAACGAAAATAATTTTAAGGTTGGGGGTCACCACAACATGAGGAACTGTATTAAAGGGTCGCAGCATTAGGAAGGTTGAGAACCACTGTTTTACAAGTAAATATGTAATCAAAGAGAAAAATCCTATAGGTTCTAGTCAACTTAGTTCTAAGTTTTCCAATAGAGTTAGAATTTGTAGTGCCTTAAACGCATTAGCTAATCAGATACCAGTAATCTATAAAGAAAAAAAAAAAAAAGAATGTTTGTGGTAAAAGGGGAAAAGAATTACCCTCAGCTTAATGTAGCTCCAACTCAGGCAATAAATTAGTCAAAATTGGTTGTCTTTATATGAACTACATAGTTACAGAATAAGACATGTTTTTACTGAACTTCATCTAAAAATAAGACATCTGTATTGAAGGCTACTGTGGTTTTGTTAATTTCCCTGTCTACTCTCCACAAAACAATTAATAAAAGCTTATAGCTTCTCTATTATTCTTACCTTCCCTGGAGAAATGCATAAGTCCTCTTTCAGAATTATCTGTGAACTGAATGACAACACAGTAAAGGAAAGGTCAAAACTGTCTGAAAACGAATGATAGTAATACTTTATCCCGATTATCTTACTTTTCAATGACATCTGCAATGAACTGGCTAGCTACTTGGGCCTCTTCTCCAGGAGGTCCAGACCGAAATCTCGACGAACACAGAGGTGGTAGATCCACATTAGGAACTGAAAGAAACACTCTGCAACTATGAAATAAACTTCACTTCTGGTTTATGAAAATGTTAAATGTAAATCCACTGCAGGGGGACTGTCACCATGGATAGCTTTTTCCAAGTGGAAAGGATTATAAGACATCAATTATATTTTTAGTCTTTTTAAGACTATTAAGCTTGGATAAAGTAAAATCTATATTTCTGACTTTTTACCACACATATATATATATATATTTTTAAAAAGCATTTAAGGTTTAAATCCTTCACAAGTTTTCTTTCTTTCGAAATACCTCAATCTGTCGCAGAAGGTAGCCCCTCTACTCATACCCAACTGTTCTGCATTTGAAAAATATTGGTTCCTACCATAAAAGGATAGCCCAAGTCAAGAAAAATGATGGCATAGTGGGCCTTGGCCGGGTGGCTAAGTTAATTAGAGCATTATCCCCATGCACAAAAAGATTGTGGGTTTGATTCCCCAGTCAGGGCACAAACCTAGCTTTCAAGTTTGATACCCGGGTGGGGTGTGCTGGAGGCAACCAATCAATGTCTCTCACATTTATGTTTCTCTCTCAATAAAAACATATCCTTGGGTGAGGATTAAAAAAAAAATCACAAAGTCTCCAATTACAGCCTTTTCCTAGGAGATTCTATTTTCTTGGTTGATGACATCTGAATGTATAAACAAAAACTGATTTGAACGAGTTTGAAAAATTACAAAATTCTCTTATGTTATCTTCCAGTAGAAAACTTCAGGAATGTCTGCTTCATTCCTATATATTTTGATTATGAATAATTTTCTCAACTATTAGTACTTAACTACAATATTTGTATTAAATGTGTTAAAGCATTTGTATTAAAATTACAAAATCGTAACTTACCAACATATCCTTTATCAGGGGCATCTGGTGGTGGTGCTGCAAATTCCTACAGAAGCAAACAAATGTTTCCAATCAAAGAAGCTACTAAATAATTGTGAAGAAAGCCTTAGTTATGGAAGGCTCTACCAAAAAACATATTAACTAGTTTACCACATCATGAGCATCTACTATGCTTAGGGAGTTGTGTCAGGGACTCTAATGGCACCAACACTCACTTTAGCTCTCCAGTAATGAGGCAGTACAGCATAGTTACACTACAGTGCTACTCATCAAAATTAAAAAATATTATTTGGATTTCTCCTCCATCCTCACTTGCACTAATTCAGTAGCCACGAATCTTTAACTTAAACCCCAATGTGATACTGGCACAGCCAGATTTAGGAAATGATGGTAACAGATAAAGGAACTAAGCAAAAGCTCTGGAATCACCTGTTTCATATGTCAGACCCATACTTTTTGGCTGAGAGACTTTGGGTAAGTTACTTAACCTCTTACCATTCAATTTCCTCATCTGCAAAATGGGAAGTTAATGAGATCTACTTTTAAGGACTGTTAATGAGGGTCAAATGAGATAATGCTGTTAAGCCTGTAATATAAAATTTGGCAGTTCAAATCTTATTGTTAGATATCACCCCAGCTTTACCGAGGAAGAATCTGAGCTTGGGTGAAGTAAGGGTGCAGTGTAGTTAGAAGTTCTATTTATTTATGAGCCTTATGTTCCTGGACAAGTTACTGAACCTCATGTAAAACAGGAGACAGAAATTATACCTCAAAAACTGTTCTGAGGATTAAACTTGATTTTGTAAAGTACCTAATATAAGGTGCCTGAAACATAACAGGTACACAACACATGGTAGCTATTATTCCCTCACAATTTTCTTTTGAACAATCTCAATTTTCTACATATTTGCATGAATTAAATACCAGTACTGGATAAAAGGATGTCACCAAAAATCTCTTAATCTCTCAAATTATACCCAAATTCTTAAAAAAATAAAGGTAGTCAAATTTTGAAAATTATTAGATTTCAAAACATTTGATGAATACCCATAAATTATAACTGAGTCATTAAACTTGGGTCGTCTTATCTAATACTCAAAGATGAAAGCTCTCTGGAAATGAAAAATACTAAAAGCTGACACCTGACTGCCTGCCTAGTCAACAGAATTACTAGTGTATATTATAATTTAATCAGTATCTACAATAAAAGAGAAAAATGGTAATTGGCGTACGATGCTACCCTTTTCATTGGCTAATCAGGGCTATATGCAAATTAATTGCCAACAAAGATGGCGGTTAATTTGCATATGTAGACACAATGCAGGGAGGCTAAAGGGAAAGCAGGAAGAAGCCCCCTGCCACTGACAGTGATCGGAAACCCAGGGGGGAGCTAAGAGCTGGGGGGCAGGGCAAAGGCGGCCCCAGGGCTGCCTTTGCCCTGCCCCCCAGCCATGATCAGAGAATCAGGGGCCTTTTCCGCCCTGGCCGGTGATAGCAGCAAGTAGGGGTGGAGCCAGCGATGGGAGCTGGGCATGGTCGAAGCTGGCAGTCCCGGGAGCCAGGGGTCCCTTGCGTGGGCCTAAAGCGAAGCCCACGATCACGGGGCCGCTGCAGCTGCGGGTCCCCGCTGCCCGGCCGGACGCCTCAGCCAGAGGCGTTAGGCCTGGGCAGGAGCGGAGCCTGCAACCGCAGGGAGCTGGGGGTCCCCTGCCCAGGCCTGACGCCTCTGCCGGAGGCCTCAGGCCTGGTCAAGGGGCCGATCCGGTGATTGGTGATCGGAGGGTGATGAGGGTCAACTCCTCTGGCCGAGGATTGGGGGGATATGATGGTCCCCTTGCCAGGCCTGAAGCCTGGGTCAGAGGCGTCAGGCTTGGGCGGGGGGTGGAGCAAGCGATCAGAGGGAGATGGGGGTTCCCTGCCCAGGCATGATTCCTGGGCCAGAGGCCTCAGGCCTGGGCGGGGGCCAGAGCCAGTGATTGGGGGGAGATGGGGGTCCCCTGTCCAAGCCTGACACCTCTGGCGGAGGCGTCAGGCCTGGGCAAGGGGCTGATCAGGCGATCGGAGGGTGATGGGGGTCTACGCCTCTGGCCGAGGCATCAGGCCTGGGCAAGGGGCAGAGCCAGCAATCGGAGGGGTCTGGGGGTCCTCTGCCCAGGCCTGATGCCTGGGCCAGAGGCATCAGGCCTGGGCTGGGGGCAGAACCAGTGATGGGGGGAAATGAGGGTCCCCTCCCCCACCTCTGTCAGAGGCGTCAGGCCTGGGCAAGGGGCCGATCCTGTGATTGGAGGGTGATGGGAGTCAACGCCTGAGGGCTCCCAGTATGTGAGAGGGGGCAGGCTGGGCTGAGGGATACTCCCCCCCACACACACACCCAGTGCACGAATTTCGTGCATCGGGCCCCTAGTCCTATATAATAAAACCCTAATATGCAAATGGACTGAACAGCGGAACGACTAGTCATTATGATGCGCACTGACTGACCGGGCAGCTCCTGCATTGAGAGTCAAATCCCCCCCCCCCGCCCCCTCCTCACACCCCCCCACCCCCACCCCCAGGAAGATGACCTGTGGCGGCGGTGATTGGAGTGGGCAGGGCTGGCCAGTGGGTGGCACCCGGCCGCCAGTCGCCCCACATATCAGTCCTGATAACTGGCCAGGCCTAGGGACCCTTCCCTATATTTTGGGAACAGTCTCTTAGATTTAAAAATTAGAACTGGCAAGGCTACTCTTCAACACTAAAAAAACAGGATGATGCAGCAATGACATGCATGGATTCTGGCTTGCACATTTTGTGGTCGGCCCTGATTCTGACTACAACTGTGTGACAAAGCCAATTACTTAACTTCTCTCTACTTCAGATTTTCCACCCATAAGATGGGGAAAATGGTACTACTGCCCCAGAAGGATCATGTTATGTACTACTTTTGATAATCAGGGCAAAAAAATGTAGCTGCCCATACAACAGCAAGATGCCTTTCACCTGTATGAAAAGTATGGTCACTGGTGCATGCAGCATCCCGGATTGCGAGAGGGATATCCGACTGCCGGTTTAGGCCGGATCGGCAGTCAGACAAGGCTACCCCACCACTCCCCCGCACGAATTTCATGCCCCGGGCCTCTAATATGAAGATAATCTGGTAACTCATTTCAGTAAAACATATATTAAACCTACCGCTTTAATTCCACAAATGACTGCAGTATTTCCCAGCTTCACTAGAGCAGAACCATCTGCAGTACTAACTGAACCTGAAAAGTATTTAAACAAAATGAAAAAGTCCATAAACAGTGTTTTTGTTTTCTACATGATTTTATATTGCTACATAAGCCAGTAGCTTATGAAATTTATTACTAGCTCAAGTTTTTAAAAAGTGGTATAACTACTTAAAACTACTGTTTTAAGAATTATTCACCTTTCCTTGAATTTGAGTCAATCATTTTTTCGTTCAGGCACAGCAGTGCACAGATTAAAAATCTCTTTACACAAAATCACTGGAATCCCTTAAACATGGTAGAATTTGGCCAAAATACTGTTTAAGTGGCTCAGAGGCTAAAATTTGGGAATGCCATAAAGGTAAAATTGGAAAATTACATATTTGCAACAGCAGGTTTAAAACATAACAAATCCATGTCTTGGAGGTATGGAAGGAATGGTGAAAAACTCTTTATAGTTACTTTAAAATTGTAAATAAAGAGCATATAAATTGAGAGAACAGTGAGTTTTAAAAAACCTTTACAAATAAAAATTCTTTACTAGTATTAAAAAAAAACAAGAAAAATTATATTTTCAAGACTGAAGCAACTTCAACATTCTTATTTTAGAACTCAAAATATCCTCACCTATGTTGACAGTTGTGGTTCTGAATTCACCAAGTTCTCTTCCATCAGGACGGCAGTTCTCTTTCTAAATAAATTTATATGAAAGTAAAGCACATCTATGTGTATATTTTATACAGAACCAGGCAAAACATCTTAAGCCTTGTTAGTTGAAATTACTTCTGAATTTTTTTATATAATTGACATAACAATTGTTTCAGTTGTACAATGTAACAATGTTCATTATTTGTATATATGAAATAGTCTTTAAAGCATATACTATCAAAAGGCATAACATCTACATAACCCCTTTTACTCACCAAAAATCTCCTGTAATACTCCAGAGGTTCCACAGTTCTGAAACATATGAAAAATATATGTGAAGTAGTGAACCTTTTTTTATTTTTTTAATATATTTTATTGATTTTTTTACAGAGAGGAGGGGAGAGGGATAGAGTTAGAAACATCAATGAGAAACATTGATCAGCTGCCTCTTGCACGCGCCCTACTGGGGATGTGCCTGCAACCAAGGTACATGCCTTTGACCGGAATCAAACCTGGGACCATTGAGTCTGCAGGCTGATGCTCTATCAGCTGAGCCAAACTGGTTAGGGCATGAAGTAGTGAATCTTAACATAAACCCAGAAACTGGCAAAGATCTTAAAAGTGTAGTGAGACAGAATAAGTCTCCAAAATATGTAAGTTTTTCATAAATTCTGAGGTGTATGTTGCCACATATAACTGTTTACTAAAAGTAGATTCTCTTTCTGTAGCAATCACAGTTATTAACTACTGTCCTTAACTCTGCCTGAAACAATTACAGTATTGGAGCTCAAAGACCTTGGGCATCTTTAAGAGGATTAATTCAGGTGTTACTATCACTCTCTCTCTGAAGAAGGGATTCTTAGCGAGAATGAAAAAAAGTTACATCTTTATTTTTACTATCCAGTAACTGAATTCAGTATATTCTTCAATTATGACTGTGGGCAATAAACTATTATATTAGCTGTACCTGCAACTTTAACAACTACAGACACTGGAAGTTTTCATTTTTATTTAATAATTTGTCGAAGGTATGTGTACTAATAGTTATTTTTAAATTATAGGAGTTATAGAATCCCCACTAGATCTTGCTTAAGAAAGTTAATTTTAGAGCAGGTTTATGTCCAACAGTATATCATACACTTGAGATTTTATACAAATAGGTAACTGTTTTGATAAAATCGATTTCCTTTGGATTCCTATTTATATGCTTAAAAACTTGACTCTAAGAATGAAAATCTATTGGTTTAACCAGAGTGGCACACACACAAAAAAAGGCTTATGTAATAAACTGCCAAACAAGGCACAGTCCTTTTAGGAATAACTTACTGAAGGAGAATGAAGTGGCATGTGGTTCTGATGCAACACTTGCCCACAAGTGCCCAGTCATGTGCCCTAACCAGGAATCGAACCTTGACCTCCGGGTTCATAGGTCGATGCTCAATCACTAAGCCACGCCAGCGGGGCCTGATGCAACACTCTTACAAACATACAACTGTGTCTCCTGGAGCTGCACATCCACTACCGAGCCACAGTGCTCCTGATACCCTTGAAATAATCTAGTTATTAATAACCGGAAAGGAACAAAGGGAAGGCCATACCCCACCCCAAGCACCCAATGAGGAAGAGGCTACCCCACCTACACCGACACTTCCAGCGGGTACTGAACTCTACACACACACACCCGTCCACCTTCCGTCTCACTGGCGGGAAGGAGCCCTCTTTTCCTTTTCCTACGATCACCTTCAGGTCTCCCGGCCCCGTGGCCGGCTTCCGCGGGGATAAGTGGGAACCTGGTGGGGTGGCCTCCAGGTGAGGAAACCCCAGCTAACGGTTAAGGGAAGCCACCCTCTGCCAGGGAACAAACTCGTGCACGCCAGCCGCCAACACTCACTTGAACCCGGCCGCCATCTTCTCGCGAGCCTTTGCTTGCGCGGGGGCGACTTCCGTCTCCAGGACGCGCGCCTGCTCCGCCCCCACACTGTCGACGAGGAACCGAGTGCCCTTCTCCCGTAGCATGAGACGCAGAAGGTGAAACTAGGGTGGTTTTTGACCCGCCTTAGTTTCCACAGTCTCTTGCTAGAAGTCTCTTTTGGTTTCTTTGCCTTCTACAGGTTTTGACGAATCAGCTATTAGATAAGTGGTGAGCGTCTCTCTTTAGAAACAGTCGGGTAGTTCAAGAGTTTGAAAGAAAATGGAATTGATAGCAAATAATACAGTACTGAGTGTGAAGCATTACTGCAAAACTTCTACGCTCTTTCCCGCCTCTGTCAGGCTAGGCCCGCGTTTTAATTCTCCTAAGTAAAGAGCTCGCAGCTCCAGCTCCGGAGATTACGTAAATTTCCTGCGGTGACACTTTGCAAGTTCCCGGGCGGGCTCCAAAGGAGCTGCTGATTTTGTAGGCTGTGTCGTGGCTCAAAGGCTTCCACCTCCCTTCTGGATAGGGTTGCCAGAAAATAAAGTACAGCCAATTAAATTTGAATGTCAGATAAAGTAATTTCCTACTAGGAGTACGCTTCCAGTGGTGTATGTTAGTGGTTGTTACCAAGGGCTGGGGAGCCGGGAAGGTTTTAGAAATGATGGTGATGGTTGCAGAACATTGTTAATTTAATTGATGCCACCGTATTGTATATTTAAAATGGTTAAAATATCAAAAAATTATCACCATTTTAAAAAATTATATGACATACCAAAACTTTTAAATGGGTCGGTTATATGGTTGTGCAATTATATTTTAATAAGGATGTTAAAAATAACACGTTGTTTATCTGAAATTCAAATTAAGTGGACAGCGTGTGTTTTTACATGCGAATTCTGGCAATCCTACTTTGGAACAAGGCGCCGGGCACACAACTACTACGTGTTCTTCGCCTAGCCGCGCGAGGGCGCTGTGGGCGGCAGGTGCCCGGCGCCGCGGCCTCTCTGCGGGCGGGAGGCGGGGCTGTGCGACCCACTTCCGCGTGCGCGTGTGGGTGCCGGATAGGGCGGCTGCAGCCGGTGCTTGAAGGATGGCTTCGCTACCGCTGCAGCTGGTGGTGCTCGGCGCGGTGCTCGGCGTGGCGCTGGCGGCCGCAGCCCTGATACTGGTGAGAAGAGGGGTTGGGGACTAACGCGGGCCTGGGTTCGTTGCTCTTCTGGAGACTAGGCCCAGGTATTCTCTCCGCGCTGCCGGCTCTTCTGTGTCTTCTTCCACCATGCTTATCCCCACCCTTTACCCCAGAATTCCTCTTCTGAATTTCACACCCCCTTTCTTCCTTGTTTATTTTTACTTTGGAGCTCTATGTCCCTACGTACTCAGAGCCTTATACCTTTGTTCACTTTGAGACGTGCCCACCCACTCCTCGCTAGCCCCCTTGTCCCCGGACCCTCTGTCCATCCCAACCTCTCCAAGACTTCCTTCCGGGTCTGTATCCTCTTCAATCTTGCCCCGCCGGGGAGGTCTTAAGCCCCCAGAAGGTGAGTGCTCTCTAGTCCCCCTTTTCCTTATGTGGTTAAGCACGTAGCGGTAACAGAACACTAATAGAAGCTATCTATTACAGATTGAAATAAATTAGTGGATCAAAAAGACCCACTAGGAACACAGGAAGATCAAGATAGGCAAAGCCTGATATTAACATCTGTTTGGGGGGTCATTATGTCCCAGAGTTAAACATCCTAAATTAGCTGCCTCGAAATGATGCAGTACAGTAAGATTCAAACTCATATTTTGCCATTATTCTGGAAACAGATTGTAAATACTTGCTGATCCATAAGTAGTAGAAAGTTTGCCAAGTGAACTTTCTCCCATATGATTTGGAATGAGCCTGCTCTCTAGTTAGTTAATGAAGAGGTTTCAGCTTCCTTGACATTCAGATTAGCAGCCAGGAAGGTCTCTGTCATCTTGCCAGAAAGTCTGTAAACTCACAACTTAGGAGCAGTTTAGCTAGAGAAAAAGCACTTTATCTTGATTTCTTTGGGGTGATTTATGTCTGAGTGAGAGAGGAGTCCTTGCTTTTGGTATATGGAGATTTCGGATTTTTTCCAGGGTTTTGAGCAAGTCAGCTGTGTGCAGGTTAGGGTTTGACGAAAATCCAAAATTGATCTGCCTCATATTGAATCTGTTACAGATTTACATGTGTACATTTTGAGTTTGTACTAGAACTAGTTGACCCCATGGCTTGAAGTGATTATAAGAGCTACCATTTATTGAATACTTCCAATGTATTGTAAGTATTCAATAAATTTGATCTTAGAACAACACTGACAAATACTAGCTTTATTTGGTGCGGAAACTCAGGTTAAAGAGCTCATATGCACAAATGTCACACAGCTCCTGGAACTTTGTTTTTTAAAATGTCAGACAGAGCGGATAATTATTACCAAAAAAAACCCACAAATCTTGTTTTATCTCTCTCTATATATAAAAAACTAAGTGACCAACCTTACGTCCGTCTGACTGCCCAACCGACAGCCGGTACATATGAGCCCACTGGCAATTGAAAAATAAATGTTGACTTGGCACATGCGCGATACATATAAAGTTCTCGCTATAAAGCTCTTATAATTAATTTCAATGTGCATGAATCCATGCACCGGCCACTAGTATGTTATATTTATCTGCACCTTCCATACATACTTTCTCCCACCCCACTTCTTTCTGGATTATTTTGAAGCAAATCCAAGACATAATATTTTACCTGTAAAGCCTTAGCATTTATCTAAAAAGATAGGACCCCTTTGAAAATGTAATGGCAGTAGGATTCTCACAAATTATTTTTTATATTAACCGTTATTTAGTGGTTTTAAATACATATCAGTTCCAATGCCTGATGTATGTCTTAGAACAGTCAGTTTTTACCAGTCAGCATTCACACACACTTAGCACTTCATTGATATGTCTCAAGTCTTTTGATCTATAACAATTTCTCTTCCCTTCCCCGCCCCCCCTTATCTTTAATAAGTAGTCATTTTTTCTGTAGAATTTCTCACAGTCTGCATTTTACTAACTGCACTCATTTGGTGCCTTTTAACATCTCTGACTCCTGAATTTCTTGTAAACTAGTAGTTACATCTAGAGACGTACGAAATAAATGTTTGACTTTTTTAAATCAAGGAAAGTGTGTGAGTGATGCTGAATACTTCCTCTTTTATAACATCAGGAGATTTATAATGTGTGATTTCTTTGGTGTTAAGATGTTATTAGTCTGACCTACCAGTTATAAAATTTGTCATTTACCTAAAGGTTTTAGCAGTCATTGATGATCACTACCTAAATATATTATTTCACTGGGAATATACCTAAATTCATTATTTCACTGGCAAAAGTAGAATATTCTAATTTATCATTCCTTCATATATTACCTAGAAACCTATAATGAAAAATAATTTAATCCTCAGCTACCAGTTAACCTGAAATACTGTTCATATATAAAAGGGAAGATAAAAAGCAAGTTTTCAAAATAATGACATAGTTCCCTGGCATCTTAACAAAGGTGACCAATTAATTTTTTATTTTTAGTATTATGAATACATGATTTAAAATACTTTTCATTTGTTTCAATGGATTTGCAGTAATTTGATGCTCAAATCCTCCCATCATAAGGCAATGAGAGCCCCTCAAGTTGGCTACTTTTTGCATCGTCCTCATTATCATTGATGTGCTATTCCACCATTGCCCATTTCCTGCCCCAACTTGAACCAGACATTCCTCTTAGGAACACTGGTTGCTTCTAGTGGGAGATGGAATTTAGAAAACACAGTCTGGATACCTGAGGTGCAGAGCAATAACTTGGACCCACTAGTCTGGATACTGTCCATGCTCACACCAATCAAATGCGTATGCAATTTCAGTATGTACCCAATGGAATATTATACATGATTGTCAAATTACAAATGATAATATGTAGATTGATTGTTTAGAAATAGAAGGTGTGCCAATAGACGTAGTATTCCAAAGAATAGCTATTTCCAAAGCTAGCTCCTAATCATATGTGGAAGGGAGCTATATAATATTAATAGTGCATGACATTTACCAATATTTGATACATATTCTACAAGTTTGATACTTTACTCCAGAAAATACTGTATTCTGAGTTGAAATCTGGGGTAAGTGCCAAGAATTCTTAAGCATTATTAGTCCCCACTATGGGGATTGGGAGAATCTTCCCTTTATACCCTGGGTCAATCTGGTCCTGGATGCGAGGTCTGCCTTCATCCCACATGTTCCAATTGTTATATGAACTTGTCCTCTGTCACCTGTAGGCTCCAAGTAGGGATAGAACCTCACTCAATGTGTGCCCAGGATTGGGGGTTTGGCACGTCTAAGAGCAGATTGTACTTCTGTAATTTGTTCCCTATTAGATCTGGGATGACAGCCCTAGAGAATGACAAGTGGGAAGAGACAGTCTCTCTTAAGACATTACTAATGGGTAAAAGGACAATCATCATTCTTAAGACTGGTTTGAATTTTGGAGTCACCTCCAGATTATTGTTAATGGACTAAAAACTGAGAATAAATATTCTAACCAAGGGGGGGGGGGGGATTACATAAATCATACAGCGTTCGAACATAACAAATGTAAAACAGGTGAACCTAACAATTTCTTTTTAACATATCTG